GACTCTTAATCCATTGCACCACAACACTGGCTCCAGGAGTAGAATTCAAAGGTAAGTTTATTTTGATGGAGAAAAAAAAAGCAGCTTTGCTTGTGAGACCCAATGCTAGAACTGTGATGAGGGTGAGTGAGATGGTGAGGAGTACATGCCTGGCACCTAACGGAAACTTAAATGTTGCTGTTAGAGTTGAAAGCAAGCAGTGGATGCAGAAGATGAGCGGCAGATTGTGGAAGGCTTTGGTCGCCTTGCACAAGGTTCAGCCGTGTGTGCCCTGAGCGCCCAGAGGCTGACACCTGAGGCACAGGCTCATTGTTAGGTTACTTGTGGCTTCTTAGCAGTGTTGTACATCCTGCTGCATTAGTCTGACCTCGCCTTTCCCAGGCGGCAGGCGTGAAGGAACCCTGATTGAATAGCAGTAATTTCAGTAGGAAGTTAAGGGCCAGAAGGAGTCTTGGATTTTCCTTTCATCCTCTTCCGGTGTTGAACTTTCTACATGCTTTATGAAAGTGTGGTTCCTGGATGACTTTTGTTGCCTTTTGAACTTTTCCTTTGTGTCAGATTGATTTTTGGCTTCAGCGGCTTGGTGCCAACATTAAAGCATTTTTAACAACATTCACTGGAAGATAAGTCAGTGTTTTTTTTTGTTTGTTTGTTTGTTTGATTGAAGATTTATTATTTATTTGAAAGGCTGAGTCATATGGAAGTGGGGAGAGATCTTCCAGCTGCTGCTTTGTTCTCCAAATGGCTGCAGTGATTGGGGCCGTGGGCCCAAGCACTTCAGCTGCCATCTTCTGCTCTCCCAGATGCATTAGCAGGAGGTGGACAAGAAGTAGAGCAGTTGAGACTCAAACTGGTCCTTAAATGGGAACCCGCTGTACCACAATGTTGGCCAAGTCAGGGCTTCTACCTAAAGTGGAAGTGTGCACTGAGCTTCGGAGCGTTTGACAGAGATGAGGGTGAGTGGGTGTAGGCTGCTAGCCTTCCAGCCTCTTTTTGTCCTCGGAAATGCTTGAGGAAGCTCATCTTCGTCCTTGACAATATGGTTACATGTATGACTGAGTGATTTGGAATGGAGAGTGGCTGTGAAGAAATGTTGTTTTAGTTTCTGGTGAGGGAATGCTGCCAAGGATCGTCCCTCTTGGACACACATACCCAGAGCCTCTCCATATTGTGAACAAGTTCTGTAAGGTTGAAATCCTAAAAGTTGTCTCCAGATTGTATTGTTTCTGGAATATAAAAAAAACATTGTTAACCATTTCAAGATTTTAATGGGCATAATTTTGGATTGCAAAATGCTTTAACATCTAAACATGACTTGTAGTGACATAACCAGAGGCCGCAGTTTTCTCCCACCTGGCTACAGTGTATGCACTGAATTCTAAGTAACAGTCAAGATTACTTTTATATTTTTCTTTCTTCTTTTTTTTTTTAAGATTATTTTTATTGGAAAGTCAGATATACAGAGAGGAGGAGAGACAGAGGGGAAGATCTTCTGTCCACTGATTTACAACCCAAGCAGCTGCAACAGCCAGAGTTGAGCCAATCTGAAGCCAGGAGCCTGGAGTTTCTTTTGGGTCTCTCACTTGGGTGCTGGGTCCCAGGACCTTGAGCTGTCCTTAACTGCTTTCCCAGGCCACAAGCAGGTAGCTGAATGGGAAGCAGGGCCCCTGGCGTTAGAACCAGCGCCCATTTGGGATCCTGGGCATGCAAAATGAGGACTTTTGCCAGTAGGCCACCATGCCAGGCCCTCTTTATATTTTTCTTACAGGTGATTGAATTTAATGAATAGCTTTGCTCTCTCTTCACAGAAATATGATAAAACCTGTCAGAAATAATTGTGCTTTAAATTTAGTTCTTTATCAGTGACATTATGATGAAAACTCTACTTTTTAAATTACCAAAATGCTAATACATTAACAAGAACAATCTGTTGTGTTTAACCCCAGAGCAATGCATCCACATCCCTGGGGAGCTTTGCACACTACCTTGGGCCTAGCTTACATCCCCACATTTAAGTTCCTAAGCTGTGGTAGAGCCAAGTCTCTAAATATAGGGAACAGTACCCCCAGGTGATCTGACAGGTCCAAAGTTTGAGAAGCACTGCCTTGGGGGATGTTATTAGTTGGGATCTCCTGGGGCAGAAAACGCAGTGATCTTCAAGAGAGACCTGCTCAGAATGGCTTCCCAGACAGCCCCAGAGATGTGCTGGCTAGCCCCTCCTTGCCTCAAGTATACCACTTTGTTTTAATGCCATCTTCCATTGTGAATTAGCAAATTCAGAAAACTTAACCCATCTAGGGCCTTCTACCCCAGTCCCCTCTTCAGCCCACTGCCAGAAATTCAGTTTTGCTTGTTTTGATGACACTCGTAGTCAGGATTTGCTGATTGAATCTCCCTGTTACCATCACGTTTCTCTGTGCCCGTGTTTCCTACACATTGGCCGACTGCCATGAAGCTGAGACTGCGATTAGTTAGACAGTTTAGTAAGTGCTTTCTTGATGATGTGGCAGACTTCATTAGAAGGCCTGCTAAGCTCTTTTTGCTGTTAGCAATAGCCATTTGTAGTCATTGCTTTCGAAATACCATTCACTGGGGTTTGCTAATTGCCTTTGAATATCCTGTGAACACTGAACTAAGAGTAGAGGCACTGGAAGAGGTATGTCCTCAGAGACAGTGTCACAGAGCCAGGTATTATCTCCCCATTAGAAGTGATTGTACTTTTTTTTAAGATTTATTTTTATTATTATTGTTTTATTAGAAAGGCGGATATACAGAGAGGAGAGACAGAGAGGAAGATCTTCCGTCCGATGATTCACTCCCCAAGTGATGCTATGCCGATCCGAAGCCAGGAGCCTCTTCCAGATCTCCCATGCGGGTGCAGGGTCCCAAAGCTTTGGGCCGTCCTTGACTGCTTTCCCGGGCCACAGGCAGGGAGCTGGAAGGGAAGTGGGGCTGCTGGGATTAGAACCGGCGCCCATATGGGATCCCGGGCGTGCAAGGCGAGGACTTTAACCACTGCGCCACCGCGCTGGGCCCAGATTGTACTTTTTTTAAAAAAAAGATTTATTTATTTTTATTGGAAAGGTAGATATACAGAAAGGAGGAGAGAGAGAGGGAAGATCTTCCATCCTTTGATTCATTTCCCAAGTGGTTGCAAACAGCTGGAGCTGAGCTGATCTGAAGCCGGAAGCCCGGAGCCTCTTCCAGGTCTGCCACTCGGGTGCAGGATCCCAAGGCCTTGGGACGTCCTTGACTTGGGCCCCACTGAACCCAGTTATCCCTTGACCCACTTCTCCCTGCCCCTGGGGCTCATGGACTTGGCATCCACTGCACAGGCTTTAATATTTCTGACTCTTGATGTGTGATACCTCAGCTTTCTCTCACTTTTTTTTAAGATTTATTTTATTTGAAAGAGTTACAGAAAAAAAAAAAAGACAGACTTTATATCTGTTGCTTCACTCACCCAATTTTTTTTAAAGATTTTTTTTTAATTTTTATTGGAAAGTCAGATATACAAAGAGGAGGAGAGACAGAGAGGAAGATCTTCCGTCCGATGATTCACTCCACAAGTGAGTGCAATGGCCGATGCTATGCAGATCTGAAGCCAGGAGTCAGGAACTTCCTCCGGGTCTCCCACACAGGTACAGGGTCCCAAAGCCTTGGGCCATCCTTGACTGCTTTCCCATGCCACAAGCAGGGAGCTGGATGGGAAGTGAAGCTGCCGGGATTAGAACCGGCACTCATACGGGATCCTGGTGTGTTCAAGGCGAGGACTTTAGCCTCTAGGCCACGCCGCTGGGCCCCCACTCCCCAAATTGTTACAGTGGGAGCTGGGAGCTTCCTCCGGTTTCCTACATGGGTTCTGAGGCCCAAGTCCTTGAGCCATCCTCTGCGTTTCAAGGCTACCTTTAGGTAGCTAGATCAGAAGTGGAGCAGCTGGGACTCCATCTGGTGCCCGTATGGGATTGGCACTGCAGCAGAGAATTAGCCTGATAAACCACTTCTCCAGCCCCTAAACTTGCTCCTTTACTTAAGGAATGTCCACGCTAGACCTTCTGTTGTGACAGTTACTGTCAGTCCTAAATGATAACTTAATACATTTTGGAAATTAATTAAGGTTGCATCTGGAAGAGTGCTTCTGTTCACCAACTCCTCCCTAAACACCAGCAGTGCCTGGGGCTTGACCAGGACCTGAGAACTCAATTTAGTTCTGCTGCATGCATGGACCTGAGAACTCAGTCCAGTTCCTTGAGCTGTCACTATTGCTTTGCACACTCAACATTATTAGCAGGAAACTGGAGTCAAGAACTGGAGCTGGATATTGAACCCAAGTACTGCAGTGTAAAATGCTCATTTTTTTTTTTTGCAGATTTTATTTTTAAGGATTTATATTTTATTGGAAAGTCAGATATACAGAGAGAAGGAAGGCTAGAGAGGTAGATCTTCTGTCCATTGAGTTATTCCCCAAGCGGCCGCAGTGGCCAGAGCTGAGCCAGTCCGAAGCCAGGAGCCAGGAACCTCTTCTAGATCTTCCTCATGGGTGCAGGGTCCCAAGGCTTTGGGTCGCTCTTTACTGCTTTCTCAGGCCACAAGCAGGGAGCTGTATGGAAAGTGGGGCAGCCAGGACATGAACTGGTACCCATATGGGATCCTGGCACGTGCAACAGAAGGACTTTAGCCACAAGGCTACCAAGCGGGACCCCAGAATGCTCATGTCTTAAGTTGGGTCTTAACCACTAGGTCAAATGCTGGCTCTTAAGGTTTTTTGTTTGTTTTTGTTTTTTTCTTTGTTTTGTTTAATAATTTGAATATCCATAACTATTACAATTTTCTGGTTTTCTTTAGTTATAACCATATTTTTATATAATAAATAGCTTTTCAAATTAAAAAAAAACTGGAGTATGTGGTACTTTAGCTTGTTTTCTGAAAGTATGGCTTTATTTTATTATTTTTTTTAGCCATTAAACAGAAAAATATTGCCTTCTGTTTTTCTTTTTTAGGAAATTCACACAAATGAAAAGGAAGTAGCTGAGAAGGAAGTAGCTCTTCACTTGTTGCCAGGTAACGGTCCTGTTAGCATCATACCCCTGTACAGTGGGAAGCCGATTATAAATGACATCATCCCTTGAATTGCTATATATAAACTCCTTTGTTTGCATTCTCACATGTAGCAGTAATGAGTTAGACAAAAACCCAAGTTCTTCAGTAACTCCACACCTGGATCTGAGTATTACAACATCTGCAAAGCATTGTTATTATTCTTTCTGCCTCCCAAACCGAGGAAAAATAAACCTGGGAAATGCTTACCTCATTCACAAAGTGAGGAGGCCTTTTCTCTGGTGTTCGGGAAGTCCGGGAGTGAAGTGTCCATCTCTCGAGTCCCCCAGCCCTTCTCTCTGCCTGCTACCAGGAGGCTGGCTGCCCGACTCCAGGCAAGCAGTACGTGTGCTCACCCTTGAGTCCCCGTGTCCCAGCCTGAGCTCAGAGGCTGTCGATGCCGGTGCTCAGGGCCTGCACTGTGGTCATTCTGAAGGACCCTCGACTGGTTGGATATCTTTTTTCTTTTCTAATATTTACTTACTTATTTATTAGAGCTTTGTGTGTGTGTGTGTTTAGAATTAATTTATTTAGATAAAGAGTTACAGAAAGAGGGAACAACAGAGATGGCCATCCTCTGATTGCCTTCCCAGATGGCCGTGACGGCTGAGGCAGGGTGACAGGGCTCTGCTGGACAAGGGCCGTGCTCTGCTGCTTTCCTCGGTGTATTGGCAGGGAGCTAGGTCCAAAGTGGAGCAGTGTCCATTTGGGGTGCCAGTGTTGGGCGGTGTCATGAAGCTTGTCCTGGTTGAATAGTTTTGGAATGTGGGAAAGTGCTTGCTTCAACAGCACATACACTAAAATTGGAGTGATACGGAGATGTAGGAAAGTGACTGTTGCTTAAATTTCAGTCATCTCTGAGGCTAGGAACAGGAACAAGTTTTGGTGGTATGTTCTTTGTATAAACAGGATATCAGCTTTTATCCCCTTTTTCCCATTTCAGAAAGCTTTTTGTAAAAAAACAAGCAAAAAGAACCAAACTTGTAAGGTTGTATTGGCTTGCAAGAGTTACACAGAGGGAGGAAGAGACAGAGAGAGATCTACCTGCTTGTTCACTTCCTAAATGGCCCCATTGGCCGGGGCAAGACTAGGCCGAAGCCAGGAGTCTGCAGCTGCTTCTGGATTACCCCTTGAGGAAAGGAGCTCAAGGGCTTGGGCCGTCTTCTGCTGCATTCCCAGCACAGTAGCAGGGAGCTGGGTGGAGAATTCAGCAGCTGGGTTCACCTAGCACTGGGAAGGGATGTTGGCATCGCAGGTACGTCATTAGCCACAACACTGCAACTCTGAGCCCTTGGTTTTTTCTTTTTTTTCTTTTTTTTTTTTTTTTAATGTGTATATTATAAGAACAGTAGAGACTTCTTTGTTCTGGTACTTTAAATTTTATTCCATTTTATAGTGAGGTTATGTTTATTGCAGCAAGTTTCTGACTGACCTACTTTATTTGAAGAAATAAATAGAAATCCTAACTTTTTTTGATGTTTGTTAGTTTCAAAGGCTTTTTTTCTTATACTAATGCCATAAACCTTGATTCATAGGTCATTGTTTTTCCTTGCCTTTGGGATTATAGATTCTGAGGTTTGTTTTGTTTTGTTTTGTTTTTTAGCTTAGTATTGTCTCTGGATTACCCAGTGGTCTCTTCTTTTTTATTTTTAATGTATTTTTAATATGTTTTTATTTTGAATTCTGAATTATGTGGTACAGTTTCGTACAGGCTGGCATCCCCCCCATACTCCCACCCCATCCCCCCAGTGATCTCTTCTAAGAGTGCAGCTATGAATTCATTGTTAGCCTCTCCAAGCCTTGGTTTCTTAAACCAGACAGACATCATTCCAGCTCCCTGCACTTACGAGATTAGAGTCTGTATCTGGCACAGATAAGTTGATAACTGGCACAGCTTGGGTCCTGCCGGGAGTGGTGCTGTCAGTCCTGTGTGTTAGTATTAGACCACTCTCTGGTCCATGGCCAGGGCTGGCTGGAGCTTGGGGAGAGTCTTCCTGTTAAAAGCTGGTTCATGCTGACAGTGATTCCTGAACAGGAAGCTTTGCTCACATGCCTTCCACCTTGGATTTGGCGGAAGCACTTTGGGACTATTTTAAGCCCCATTGAGGCCCTGACTTTATTGTTTTCTAGAAGTCTTTGTCTGGAGGCTGACCTAGGTGATGGAGCCATCTTCTGTGTTTCCTTAGAGTTTCAGTGAGATGGAAAAAAGGAAAACAGTGTTATTGTATGTGCCTTGATGGCCTAATGTCCGCTTTTATTTTCATCTTGAAAGCTGGACTGAAGGAATTTTGAGCCAAAAAGTGAGTTAAAGAGCTAAAAGAATATTCAGGAGACTCTGAGGGGAAGATGGTTACCTGTTGGATGAGAAGAACATTGGGACAGTGTGTAAGCTTAGTCTTTTTTTCTCTCTCTGCCCTTCTCTTTCCCATTGTTACCAGATACCCTGTTCTCCTAAACTTTGTTTCTCCTGAGCAAAGAATACTTACATCCTCTAGTCCTGATCTTTGTGACTGCGCAGAAATGCTCCTTGTCTCCAGAAACTACAGCTGCTCTTGGACTAGGGGAGGTAATGCATTTAGGCATTTAGAGGAAATACTTTCAAGTCAGAAACAAAGGAAACAGTTTTTTCTGCTCACAAACCTCTGACCTCCTCTTTCCTCCCATCCTCTGGTGCGGGGCTGCAATGAGAGTGGTGGTGCGGAAGTCTGCAGCAGTGTCTGAGGAAGCCGCCTGGATGACCTAGGGCCCAGGAGGCACCCTGTTCTCACAGGAAAGTGGGCGTGGGATGAGTGCCTTTAGGGGCTGGCTGTGTGGGACAGCTGTTGGAGGAAGGTAGTGAAAACACCTAAGGGCTCTGCTTCAAAGTACAGCTGAGTTCATCACCACCCATTTGGGAACTTCATCATTCACAGTGAGAAGGTAAAGTGGCATCTGAGCCGTCTCAATTTTACTTTTTGAGGTTGCCATTGAGCTTCATCTTAAGTTTTGCAAAAGCTGCTTCTGTGCTGAAAATTGGGAAGTTCTGGAGTACTACTACATTGTATTGTGTCTTTGCCTCATGAAGAGCTGGGAAGTACCCAGCGTTTACCTACTGTGCATTCCCTTAAGGCTCTAAGGAGTACTTGCTTTGGTTCCCACCAGGTGAACAACTGCTTTGTGAGGCCAGCACAGTACTGAAGTATGTTCAGGAAGATTCCTGCCAGCGGGGAGTCTATGGGAGACTCGTCTGCACGGACTTCAAGATTTCCTTTCTGGGTGATGATGAGTCTACATTGGACAGTGCTGTATGTATGAGCCATGTTCATGGGCAGTGCAGGTTGCTCCATTATCTTTTCCCCAACTTCACCATTACTCCATGCTCATCCCTGACACACCAGAATAAAATCCACCAACACAAGTCCTCTTCACTGGTCTGCTCTCTCTTAACCTCCTTTTGGTGGTAGGGCTGTTTAGAAGGTTCCTGTCTGTGCCGTATGTCACACAGGCTTGCACTTGACCTCTTGGATAGATGTGAACTTTTTCTCATTTTGTTTTATATTTCAGCATAGGATGTTTCACTCCTGGAGTACTATCTCCTCAGATGTACTAGTTCCCCACATATTGTCTAACTTTAGTAATGAAACTGATGATGAATACTGCTTTTAAATTGGGGTTTATTTTATGTTTAATCTGAATGTAGTAGTGGCATGCTTAGGAGACATTGAACCTACTTATGCAGGATGAGAAGTTGAATAAGAAGCAAGCTGTGTGTTAGTGAAAACCCAGCCAAAGTACTTCCTGGCCTCAGTGCACCTGTTGTCCAGGACCACCCTAGCTTCCTAAACAGCAGCGCTGCTGCCTCCACCTCTCATCTTGGGTATTGTTTGCTGTTGCTGCTGCATGCTTCGCAGCCCAGTACAAAAGACAGCCTGAATCTCCCCGTGTTGTCTGCATAAAACTGGCTGCAAGTGACTTTGTCAGGCTGCTGCTTGCATTCATATGGAGTGTTAACCCCACACAGTTCAGAGTGATATGCTTGGCATGTTGAGCTTGCGTGAGAGCAGCTGAGAAGCGGCATGCTCTGCCAGGGTGTGAAAAGCAATAGTCTGAGCTTTTCCCATGTGCTTCACCATCCTTTTCTTGGAGTGGGGCTGCGTTTCTCTGGGGCTGCTGATCTGTGTGTTTATAAATAACATACACAGAAAGGAGTCACAGTTTTCTTTTGAATCTTCTAGGAAACTCATTTTAAGAACAAGATTATAGGAGAAAATGACATAACGCTCCACTGTGTTGATCAGATTTATGGAGGTAAGTATCTGCATTCCCTTGTTTTTGTCTATCTTGGAGTGTATAGCTGGTAATGGTGATGATATTTTTATGACTCCATCATTATGAGAAATTTGTTCGCATGCATCATTTTAATTAAGTCAATTTCATAGATGATGGAATTGATGCTTAAAGTCATTTTATTTGGGGCTCACTTTGCTGGAGCAGTTTGGGCTAGGACCACACAGAGCCATTATAGGTTAGATGTTGCTCATGCTTTCTGCTGCCAGTATCAGCTGTGTAGGTTTTACTTGGATAGCTGATCTGATGAAGGTCTTACATTAGGGATGGCTCTTCTGCTGACTAAGCAAGCCTCTTGTGCCAAACCTCTTTTGTCTTACTTCTCTGTTTTTGTATTGAGGTCATTTTCAGAATTCGTTCAGTAGCAGTTTATAATGTTTTCAATACCAACAGGTTCTAGGTGAGTCTAAACTCAGACTGAGAGGAAGGTGTCAGGGAGGCCCATGCTATAAACTGGGGGAATAGATGGTCACAATGGTGTGTCTTTAGTGATCTCCTGTCCGTCCATCATCTCAGCTTCCAGAGCTGGGTGTTCCACTGGAGTCAGCTCTGCCAGCAAGAGCGGTCAGCTTGGGTCTTGTGCTTCCTCTAGAGGCATCAAGAACCTTAGCAGCTCAGAGAGCCTGGGCTCCTGGCTATAGGCACAGAGAAGGCAGACAACACCTTTCCTTTTGCTAGTGAATAAGTGAAGGTAGACTGTTAACTTACTCTTTATTTAGCTTTAACTAGTTGCTGCACAGTAATAGTTCCCTTCCTGATTTCATCGTTGCATTTATCTGTAGTGTTTGATGAGAAAAAAAAGACTCTCTTTGGACAACTGAAGAAATACCCTGAGAAACTCATCATCCACTGCAAAGACCTCCGTGTGTTCCACTTTTGCCTGAGGTACACAAAGGAAGAGGAAGTCAAAAGGGTAACTAGTTGCATGCGTTTTTAGGTTTTATTTCCCATCAGGTTTTCCCCACTGACTCAAAATTATTCTTGCCTAGCACACAAGTTGAAGGGAGGCTTGCTTTCTTTGTGTTTAAATTCGTTTTCCTTTTTTGTTTTTTTAAAGAAGTATTTGTTTTTATTGGAAAGGCAGATCTACAGAGAGAGGGAGAAACAGAAAGATCTTCCATCAGTGGTTCACTCCCTAAATGGTTGCAATGGCCAGGACTGAGCCACTCTAAAGCCAGGAGCCAGGAGTCTCTGCCAGATCTCCCACACGGGTGCAGGGTCCCAAGGCTTTGGGCCATCCTCAACTGCTTTCCCAGGCCACAGCAGGGAGCAGGAAGGGAAGTGGAGCAACCAGGGCACGAATGGATACCCATAGTGGATAACCAGTTGAGCCATTGTGCCTAGCCCAAAATTTATTTTCATTTCATTTAAAAGACAGTCAGACATAGACAGAGAGGCAGGGAGATAGCAAGAGAGAAAAACAGAGAGAGTGAGCAAGACAGATCTTTCAGCCACTTTTTCACTCACTCCGTGTTCACAACAGCCAGTGTTGATACTGGCCAAAGCCAGGAGCCCCGAACTAAGTTTAGGTCTCCTGCTTTGGTAGCAAAGACCCAACTGCTTGAACCATCATTTGCCGTATTAATAGGAAGTTGGATTGGCAACAGAGCCAGAACTCAGACCAAATACTCTCATATGCAAACTGGGTGTCCCAACTAGTGATTTAATTGCTCCACTGAATGAAAGCCTGCTCCAGGGGAAGCCCTTTACTCTGTGAGGTTGAAGTTGATTGCAGTCCCATAATTTTTGACTGGAATTTGAGAGGCAATTTGGTGAAACATGTCTGTGCATCAGCTTGGCATATGCTGCCTTTGATCCTTCAATTCATAGTGTTTTTATTTCTAGAATCACTGAAAGGGCGGGAGGAGCGGGGACAAGGCAGGTCAGGAGGTGGTTGGGGAAAGGGAAGAATGGGACAACAGAAAGCTTTTCTCTGTGACCCCATCTCTGATGGAGTTCTAGAAGACAGTAGCGCTAACTTTCTACTCCTTTGGGTAAGTGAGCTTGCCACTGGGAGGTGGTGATTGTATGGAAGGAAGCCCACAGGTCAGATGAGCAGAGCCAGGGTGTAGGTGTGCTGTGCAAACGGAAATCCCTGGGTGCCACGGCGCTATCTGACTGACCCCAGAAAGCTGCTGTACCAGTTTGAAGTTTAGAATAACTGCCAAGATATCTCTTGACTTACATGATGTATCAAGTTTGCCACCCTTATGATGAACATCAGGGGAATCCTACCAAGAGGCCAGGTTGTGTATACTGTCCTGGCTACGATGAGTTACATGCATTTATAAGCAGCATGTTAATTTTCTCTTAAATAGTGTGGTATTCTGGTTAGAATAGTAAACCTGATTTCAGTTTCTATTCTGAGCTAGAAAATAATAGCTTAATTACAGAAAATTTCCTGAGAAGCCAGATAATTCACTTTGAATGATAGTGTTACTCATCTATCCAAATACATTTCTGTCTTACCACAGCAGATTGCTAGTACTGATACTGATTTTTATTCCTCATCTTCTAAAATGTTCTAAGTCCACGACCAGGGTAACAACCAAGACACTTAGCTGTTTGACTCATGGCTTTCCTGGTGTTTCTTAAAAGCTTAATCATATGCATTGGTTGTTTCTTTTCTAGATTGTCAGTGGGATAATTCATCATACCCAGGCTCCTAAGCTGCTGAAACGATTGTTTCTGTTTTCCTATGCAACTGCTGCCCAAAACATTATAGGTAAGTGTTCTGGGCTCCACCCAAGGAGGGACAGAGTCTCAAGTCAGCATCTTTTTTTAAATTATAGATTTATTTATTTTTATTTGAAAGGCAGAGTTGGAAGCAGAGAGAGATCTACCATCTGCTAGTTCACTCCCTAAATGGTCCCAGCAGCTGGAGCTGTGCTGGGGGTCTGAAACCATGAGCCTCCTGCAGATCTCCCACATGAGGCATGGGCCCAACCTCTCAGGCCATCTTCTGCTGCTTTCCCAGGCATGTCAGCAGGGAGCTGGATTGCAAGTAGAGAAGCCAGGACTCAAACTGGTGCCTGGATGGGATGCTGGTACTGCTGGCAGAGGCTCAATGTACTATGCCAGTGGTGCCACTGCAGCATCCACTCCCCCCCCCTTTGTTTTTTAATTTCAAAGGTAGAATGGCAGAGAGAGAGAGAAAAAAAAAAATAAACCTTTCCCAATTCGCTATCAACAATCAGGACTAGGGCCTGTTGTGGTAGTCTAATGGTTAAAGTCCTTGGCTTGAATGTACCAGCATCCCAAATGGGCGCCGGTTCTAATCCCAGCTATTCCACTTCCCATCCAGCTCCCTGCTTGTGGCTTAGGAAAGCAGTCAAGGATGGCCCAAGGCCTTGGGACCCTGTACCCGCATGGGAGACCCAGAAAAGCCTCCTGGCCTCTGGCTTTGGATCAACTCAACTTCAGCCATTGTGGCCTCTTGGGCAGTGAATTAGCAGACGGAATATTTTCCTCTCTGTATGTTTGACTTTGCAATAAAAATTTAGAAATCTTGAAAAAAGTAATAAAAACAAAACAAAGCAATCAGGGCTAGTCCAGGCCATAGCCAGAAGCCAGGAACTTCATTATTACCTTCTGCTCAGTTATTGGAGACACATACTAGAGCCATCTTCTGCTGTCTTCCTAGGCATATTAACAGGGAGCTGGATCAAAAGAGAAAAGCTGGGGCTTGAGTCAGCTCTGTGATATGTCGATGTCACAAGCTGTGACTTAACCTGGTGTGCCACAACACAATTGTCCAACTCTGCATCATTTTAATTGCACTTGTTTTGACAAATAGAGACCAGAATTCCATCTTGGTCTCCTGCGTGGGTAGCAGGGCCCAGGATGTGGGCCATCATCTACTGCTACCCTACTGCTCGTGGCATGAACAGGGTGGGAGAAGGAGGCAAATGAGACAGACAAGATGAAGACTATAACAGCAGGCAGCCAGAGGAAGTCCCTGTGCTTAAAGAAGGAAGTTTGACCCACAAGGCCTCCTGTCTTAACCTTTTTTTTTTTAAGATTTATTTATTTTTATTGAAAAGTCAGATATATAGAGAGGAGGAGAGACAGAAATATCTTCCGTCTGATGATTCACTCCCTAGGTGGCCATGACGACTGGTACTGCGCTAATCCAAAGCCAGGAGCTCTTCCAGGTCTCCCATGCAGGTGCAGGGTCCCAAGGCTTTGGGCAGTCCTCAACTGCTTTCCCAGGCCACAAGCAGGAAGCTGGATAGGAAGCAGGGCTGCCGGAATTAGAACCAGCGTCCATATGGGACTCTGGTGCTTTCATGGTGAGGACTTTAGCCGCTAGACGCCAGACCCTGTCTTAACCTTTTATTAAACTGTTTGAGAAGTCAAATTGTAAAATTGAAGTGGCACAAGCTTTGATAAATAGCTACGTCCCCATATTCATGTTACCCAGCCAGTGACTGATGATGAGGAAGCAACAGCATAACCCAAGTACAGAAGTCAGTACATGACTGACTCATGAACAGGCACAGCACAGAGCTCTGTGGCCTTAGCCCATGGCGCAGCTGAGACCCTTACCCGAAGGGTGGTCCTTGGTCTCTTGTGCCAACAGTCTGTGGACTCAAGATTTCAGATACAGTCCACCCTGCTCTTTAGCTCAGGCTGTTTTTGTTTTGTTTTTTTCTGTTCTGTTTTTGTTCTTTTTGCGAATTGCCAGAGGCAACTGCTTTCCAAGGTGCGTAAGCAGGGAGTTGGGTCAGGCAGAGCAGCTGGGGCTTGGACAGCCACAATGACGCAATTGCCTTTAGTGCAAGCAGTGGCTTAATCTGTTGTACTTCAGCACTGCTCCAAACTTTGGCTCTTGACCACTCAGTCAGATGGCTGTGCCTGTCCATTACTCTTTTTCTGTTTGTGTTTTGAAAGATAAAGTGACAGAGAAAGAGGGAGATACACTGATCAATGGTTTTACTTATTAAATTCCCACAGTAGCTAGAGTGGGACCAGGCTGAAGCCAGCAGCCTGGCCCTCCCGTCTTGGACTCCTGCCATGGTGGTAGAGATCCACACATTTGGGCTGTCATTTCTTGCCTTCCCAGGGGCACTAACAGGAATCTGGATCAGAAGGGAAGCACTCGGAATCAAACTGAAACTCTGCTGGAGGATGTTGGCATCCCAAGCAGCAGCTTAGCCTGCTGCACCACAGCAACTGCCCCCTGCCTGCTGTTTTGTTAAGATTCGTCTTCAGTTTATTTGCAAGGCAGAGGGAGAATGAGACAAAGAGGTCTTCAGTTTGCTGGTTCACTGCTCAAGTGGTTGCAGTGGCCAGGACTGGGCCAGACCAAAGCCAGGAGCTTTATTCTGTTCTCCCACATGGGTGTAGGGGATCAGAGACTTGGGCCATCTTCTGTTTTCCTAAGAACTTTAGCAGGGAACTGGTTAGGAAGTGGAACAGCCGATACTTGAGCCACTGAAGGTGGAGGTTTGACTTCTTACTGGCACAGCTGCAGCCCCTGCCCGTTATCTCTAACATGAAGCTGATGTCTGGTGATCCTCGGTCCTTTGTGCTGTCGGGGAAGGGGCGGCTTAGTTTAACAGCAACTGCTTTTCAAAAACTTTATGGAATGCAGAGTGGCTTTGCCACTGGTTGCACATTTAGTAAACACTTGCTGAACACTTGTTATGGACCAGACCTTGTGAAGATCCGGGGTTGAACAGGACTAAGTCCTCACCCTAAAGAGCATTAAATCAAGTATAAGAGGCAGCATAGTGGCAAGTCCCCCACTGGGGGAAGCAGGCTGTCGGAGAGAAAAAACTGTGCCTGCCCTCAGTGTATGGTAGGCGGCAGTGAGTATTTTAGGCAGAGGGGATGACGTGAAAAGATGTAGGTATTCCAGAAAGGATGTTACAGTAAGGGAATCCAAGGGGATGAAGTGAGCAGAACAGATTGTAGTATCTGTTTCAATGAGTTGAGCCCATCAGCCTTCTACCCGTGTGATCCTGGGGATAACTCACTCCCCATGTGAGCACTACGGCTGGTGCTGCGCCAATCCGTAGCCGGGAGCCAGGAGCTCGTTGAGTCTCCCAGGCTATGCCAATCCAAAGTCAGGAATCAGGAACTTCCTCCACGTCTCTCATGCAGGTGCAGGGTCCCAAAGCATTGGGCCGTCCTCTACTGCTTTCCCAGGCCACAAGCAGGGAGCTGGTCGGGAAGTGGAGTTGCCAGGATTAGAACCAGCACCCTTATGAGATCCCAGCGCATTCAAGGCGAGGACTTTAGCCTTGTCACCGTGCCAGGCCCTCCTATTTTTTTTTTTTTAAGATTTGTTTATTTTTGTTGGAAAGGCAGATATACAGAGAGAAGGAGAGACATAAAGTTCTGTCCAGTGATTCATTCCCCAGTGGCTGCAACAATCACAGCTGAGCCTATCTGAAGCCAAGAGCCAGGAGCTTCTTCTGGGTCTCCCACATGGGTGCAGGGCTTTAAGGCTCTGGACTGTCCTCTACTGCTTTCCCAGACCACAAGCAGAGAGCTGGATGGGAAGTGGAGCAGCTGGGATTAGAACAGGCACCCATATGGGATCCCAGTGCATGCAAGGCAAGGACTTTGGCCACTAGGCTATCACACCAGGCCCAGGTTTTTAACTTTTTTAAATACTTATATATAAATAATTAAATCTAAACATATAATTCATTTATGTTTCATATATACTTTGTACACATAGTCTGAAGGTAATTTATGCAATATTTTTTTTGTGCACCATTTTGACCTCACATGAATTCTACCATGGCATCATGTCAGCACTGAAATTTTTCTTTTTTTTTTATAGCATTTCAGATTTTCAGGCTACGGATACTCATTTTGTGTAGGCATTGACTTATCATCATCACAGTATTTTTGCTGTCATCTGGTTTTGCCCATAGGAGCAGAATGAGTTATTTCATTGGACACTTTTTTTTTTAATATGCAAAGGCTTGAGCTAGCTGAGATAGAATTTGTATAAATGCCTGAGACTGACTCATACCACCACCAACAAGCAGGTCTGTGACTTGGGAGTAGACCAAGGACGTGTCTGCTGGCTGTAAGGCAGTACTCTAGGAGTAGACATTTGGCAGAGCTGTTCAGATAGCTGTTATTCCATCTGGACATACCGAGGTTCAGTACCTAGCTATAGTGGACGTACCTAGGTTCAGTACCTGGCTGTAGCCCCCAACTCCAGTAACCGAGTAGCAGCAGTGATGTCTCAAAGTAGGGGATTCCTACTGTCCAGGTGGGAGACCTGGACTGAATTCTAACTGCTGCTCAGTCCCATTGCAGACAATTGGGAAATGATCCACTGAGAAGAGGCTGGGTCTCTCTGGGTTTCTCTGCCTCGTAAATTAAAAACAAAACAAAGCAAAAACCACACACACATGCATGCGCACAAAACAGTACTCCTGGGAATTTCATCCTTGTGGGTAGTTAGGTGCAGAAGTACATGTCTACATTCGGTAGCCTTGGCTGGCAGGTGCCAACCGTCACCATTGCTCTCTGATGTGCTTTTTGCCTTTGGTAACCAGGTGTCACATGAGACAATTTTATTCCAACTAAATGAGGATTTACATTCAATAATTTGACATTCTGTTAAAATCAGTTTGTTATTTTTTGCACTTACTGATAGGGCTAAAAATGTTGCATTATATTAGCATTTGCACCAAGCTCTGCTTCACATAGTGTCTTTGTGTTACATAAGTTATCTCCTAGTCTGATGACTGAAAATAGAGCTGTAAATTACTTCTGCAGGGAATGGAACAAGAACAACTGCTTTTCTGCAATATAAAGACAGAAGCCTCGTCTTAATTTGGATGAATGACAAAAAAAAAGAACAAGCTTAGGAGTAATAGGTGAATTCATTTTGCTTGACTCAAAATGTGCTTAGTGGAGGAAGTTAGGGCCCAAGGATGTGCTTTTGCCTAATTGAAATATCAGTGCTTCTTGAAGAGACTGTCTTTCTCTCCCCTTCCTCTCCTTTTTGATAGCCGCCAGTCCGAAGAACCATACAGTAATGTTTGACACACTGAAGGACTGGTGCTGGGAATTGGAGCGGACCAAGGGCAATGTGAAGTATAAAGCAGTGAGTGTCAACGAAGGCTACAAAATCTGTGACAGGTAAGCCGTAATGCTGGGTATGTAGCATGCAGTTCGTGAGGTGGAAGCATGCAGTGTTTTTAGTATATTTACAAATTGCATAGCTGTCACCACAGTCAACTCTACAGTATTTTCATCATTTCCAAAAGAAACGGCACACTCATTATCAGTCATTCCCTTTTTTTCTTGTACATATCACCCTTCCTCAGTCATAGGTAACCTCAGTCTACTTTCTTTTATTTTGCCTGTTCTAGACACGAATCTTAAGCTTTGTGGTCTGGTAGAACTAACTTCTTAGACTTGTGTAGTGTTTCAGTGTAATGCGCTTGGATTTTATTCTTTGTTGTTTGGTGGTAATGATATATATTACCTCTGTCTGTTCACTAGTTCATAAATATTTGAATTGTTTTTATGATTTGGCCCTCTGAATAATATGACTACAACAATTATTCACCTGTTGTTTGGGTATTTGTTTTTATTTTTCTTGGATGCATACCTAAGAGTAGCATTTCCAGATCATTTAGTAACTTTACATTTAACTTTTTGAGGAACTGCCCTGCTGCTTTCTTCAGGAACCACACTAGTTCATATCCCCATTAGCAGTACTTGAGTTCTGTTCCCAGTAGCAATACTAGCTTTTTAGAGAAATACTTAACTCAAAAAATGAGTATATATCTTTTTGCTGTTCCCTTTACTGTATCCAAAATCCAAGTGTAAAGCTTGCAGAGCAATTTCTGAGTTTATGTTGTGTATTTTCTTCCTTTAGTACTTTGTTTAATCGTTCAGTAAATTATTTGAATCCCTTCCAACCCGCCTGCTGTAAATAGCCAATGGAGGACCTGAACACCTCTGTCCTCCAGAGCTGCCATTCTGTGACAGAAAGGTGATGAGATGATAAAGAAGTAAATTAGATTATAAGACAAGTGCCATGGAGGAAAATAGATTAGGCAATGGAGTGTGGAGGTGATGGTGGCAGGCTTGCTCAGGAAGGTCTGGGGTAAGTGGCATCAAGCAAAGCTCTGAAAGCGGTGAAGGGATGAGCAGTGAAGGGTTCCTGACAGCGAACTTGCTAGGCTGAGGGAACAGGGGTGGCAGAGTCTTGAGGGGGAGCAGTGGCTGCAGGGAACAAGCAGGGGGAGGAGTAACATTGGCTGAGGTCAGGGAGCAGAGGGGACCATCGAATGGTGAGGGGCGTGGCAGCTTTCCAAAGAGTCAGCCCCTGACTGCTGGGACAGCGTGTGGGCACGTTTGAGCAGAGCTGATGTACATTTTTAAAGCAGCAGTCTGCATAATCTGTTTTAGAAACAGAAATCTTATCATTTGGGAACAGACTCCTTAAAGCCTGTTAAAGCTTCACAAAATGTATTTTTATAGAGCTTTTTGTATTCATGATTTTAATAGGCCTGTTCAGCAGCAGGTCAGTTTTAATTTTGATCAATCTCAGATAATTACAGGAACACTTCTCAGTCCATCCCAGAATAAGCTGTGAGGACAGTTGAGAAGGTCGGCAGGGCCTCAGTTCTTCCCAGAACCTCACTGTCACCCCATGCTCTCCCAGAACTGTCACCCCATGCCCTCCCAGAACTGTCACCCCATGCCCTCCTTTTTTCCGGGGGATGAGGCTAGATGGGAAGAGCCGCTGCCACTCAGAAAGGGGTCATCTCCTATTGCAGTTGCTAACAGTTTGCAGTGAGATGTTCCTGTTGATATAAAACATTTATATTTCCAGAATTTTTAAAATAGATTTATTTTTGATGATGTTTATGTAATTGAGATGGATGTATGCCCATGCGGACCACTGAAGGGTTGAGGACTGGGAGAAAGTGGATGAGACAATTGCTTCCAGGTTTTTTTTTCTTCCTCTTTCTTGGGGGGAGAGAGAGGAGAAGGGTATATGGCTGCTCCCACCAGCCTAATTGCATCAGTAACTGGGGATATGGAATGGCCATTTGATGTCCTCATAGGGTCCCCAGTGTGGAGCATGTTCTGAGGTACTACTTAAGTGGTTTCAGTAGTTCTGAGATACTGTTAATTTTATTACTCCAAGGTTGAAGAAATCCCTCCAAGGTCCATTGGCTGGCATAGTCCACCTTAGAGTATCCACTCCCCCAGAGTTGCTGTCAGAGCTTGGCCAGGAGAGTTGTCCAATTTGTTCTATCCTTCATCCTCTGCCAACAGTCGGATCCTCCAGCTTCCCTTCTCCAAACCACTTGGTCTCAGCCCCCTTGCTTACCTGCAGATGCAGTGGCCTTGTTGGTGAAAGTCCCCCAGAAGATATTCCTCTCGTGCAGTGTACTCCCTTGGTGCTTCCACATTCCCTGAACAATCTACAGCTTCCACAGTCACATGGGTTCCCCAGCCTGGTCTTCTGATGGGATGGTGTGCTGGCCTGGAGCCCTGTGGTCCAACCGACCCGAGACCCAGTTATATGCCTGAGTCCCCACGCCTACTCCACCTGCCCTGCACTCTGTTGGCCTATTCCCAACATCCTTTTTAAAAATATCCTGCTACAGGGTCCTGGCACTGTAGCTTAGCGGCTAAAGTCCTTGCCTTGCATGCACTGGAATATATATGGGTACTGATTCTAATCCCAATGGCCCCACTTCCTATCCAGCTCTCTGCCTGAGGCCTGGGAATGCAGTCGAGGATGGCCCAAGGCCTTGGGATCCTGCACCCATGTGGGAGACCCAGAGGAGGCTCCTGGCTCATGGCTTTGGATTGGTGCACCTCCGGTTGTTTTAGCTACCTGGGGAGTGATTTAGCGGACAGAAGATCTTCCTGTCTCTCCTCTCTGTATATCTCACTTTCCAGTTAGATTCAAATTTTCCCCAGTCTTCATTAAAGCTTTATTAAAAAGCTTCTCTTCGTCTTTTGAGTCTGTTTAAGGATGATTCAGTGGGATTCAAATCTTGATTTGAATTGAAAGGTAGTTGATTGAAAGGTTTCTTAAATTGTTTGATTTTCTTTTAGCATCGTATTTTGAAATTTATTGAGGCTATTTGTTAGTTTACCATACGTCCAAGATAATGTTTATCTGTTATTCTCTCCTCTATGAATTTATTGGATCTACCAGTTTCATCCCATTTAAGTTCCAGTCTCTTTAACTCAGAAAACCTCTCTGCTGACCTGACACTTAGATATACACCAAACGTGCAGTGTGCATACACATGCCTTTGTTTATTTTCCAAAGTAATTCCACGAGTAGCGTGTTTCATGTGAAGCTTTGTTTCAGGCTCTTTGAGGGAAAGGTGTTTATACTCCATAGTGATAGAACTTTGGTCTCTTATTCACAGAAACACACATTTAGGGATTGACTATAAGGTGGTGTCTTTGATCTCCAAATTCTGAAAATCCAACTTTTTCATGTCCTCCTGCTTAGCAGGTTTGCTATTTTAGAGACTAAATTGCTAACTGACAGAAATAGAAGTACTATTGCTTGGGTTCAGACCACAGCATGAGCATGTACTTACAATTTTGTAATCTGTGAAGAACCTTAGCATTAGTGAGTCTGTTTCTTAATCTGTGTAAAGGAAATAATAATAGTGCCCTCAGAAAGTTGTTGGGAGGATAAAGCAAATAATTTCTGTTAAGTAATTAGAACAGTGATCATGCTAAGTAATTGGAGCAGTGTCTGGCTCATAGCACTTAACTGTATGTTGCCAGAACACTTAATAAAATGTTTAGGCAGCAGTCACCGTAATTCGTGATTTTCGTACTTAACTGAAAGTCACACAGATGCTTATGTTAAGGAAAGATCACTTACAATTTTGGAATTCATATATTTTAAGCATTGCCTTTCCCAGTTCCCTCACTTTATGTAAAAGGATATAGAGCTAGAGAAGTAAAGTAACTTATCTAAGGTTGTGCAGAAACACTGGCAGAGCAAAGATAGAAGAGCTCAGATCCCAGACTGATTTGGCATTTACACCACAAAAAGCAGTTGATCTAAGTTCTTCTTAGCAGGAAAATACGGTCTTTCTCGTGACTTAAATGGTTCTGCTTAGCTTCCTTGCCTTCATTGGTTTGAGCTTTCATATTTTTCGAAATTTCAGTCTAGTTCTGAAATTTGATGACATCTCTTTCTTCTAGGTTGCCAGCATACTTCGTTGTCCCCACCCCGCTTCCTGAAGAGAATGTGCGGCGCTTTCAGGGTCGTGGCATACCAGTAAGTGCGTCTGGAGTGTCATCCTAGCAGTGTGATCTTACTGAAAGCTCTTGGCTTTGGGACTAGAGAGTTTGTCTTCAGTCCAAGGGTGATCCAAAAATATCATAGGGACTCCCTAGAGAAGTCTGTTAAACATGAGGCTCCTTGGGACAGAGTTCTGAAGTTTCCACAAATGCACTTGAGTGTTCAACAGAAATATTTAAATAACTTTAAGAGGATGCTCTGCTTTAGCACCTAAATCATACTGAACCTGGGCTGACCACTCTAAGGGTAGTAGGATTTAAGATTCTTTTGCTTACACTAGAAATCTTTGCATAGGCAGGATGGTTGTTATTTTTCCCAGAGACAGCATGGAGTGTGTCTTAGTTTTCACAGACTAGAATGGGGTGAGAGCCATATTCAGAGCGTCACTGATCAAAGAAAGCAGGACTCTGGCAGTCACTCCAGTTTCTAATTAGTGGTTGAGGATTGCCAAGCCTGGAGGGAGTTCAGTAAGGGAGGAGAATTGTAAGTCAGTGCCGTGCCATGCACACAGCTGCTGCACCGAAAGGGTCATCCTCAGACGGTCAGCAAGGTGGTGAGAAAGGTGCTTTAGCAGAGGAGTCCATGGGAGGCGAGCAGGGAAGGAGCGCGCCCCTCGCCGCGAGCCAGGGACCCTGCACGGCGAGGGCAGCAGCTCTTCACTGTCAACTGCTTGGTGCAAAGTACGGTTGAGAGCTGAATGTTGCCAGATGTCGTTTGTTTTTTTTTTTAAGAAACCAGATATAAATTATTGTGTGAGTTTTCTTGATCTCTAAAAATAAGCAAATGATTCAAATGTTCTAAAAAACAGCTTTAGGCCAGAATTGGCTCATGTCCCACCAGTTAGTGTTCTTTGATTTAGAGCAACTGTTCTCAGACTTTCTGGTCTCAAGACTCTTTACACTCCTAGAAGTAACTCAAGGGCTGAGAGTTTTTGTTTATATGGTTTGTTTCTATTGGTATTTGCCATATTAAAAATTCAACTGGAAAAATTTTAAATATTCATTTAGCATAACATGTTAGCACAAATAACATTTCTATTGTTGAAAACACTGTTTTCATTTCATTTGGAACAGAGACTGGCAGAGAGAGGTTTTCCATCCACTGGTTGACTTACCCTGTGCCCGTAACAGCCAGGCCTAGGCCAGGCCAGACTTAGGAGTGTGAACTCCAGTTGGTTCTTCCACTCGGGTTCTTCCACATGGGCCTGGCGCCATAGCCTAGTGGCTAAAGTCCTCACCTTGCAGCCACTAGGATCACATATGGGTGCCAGTTTGTGTTCCAGCTGCTCCACTTCCCATCCAGCTTCCTGCTTGTGGCCTGGGAAAGCAATAGAGGATGGCCCAGGGCCTTGGAACCCTGCACCCATGTGGGACACTGCTGACTTCAAATGAGCTCAGCTCCAGCTATTGCAGTCACTTGGGGAGTGAGCCAGCAGACGGAAGATCATTCACTCTGTATCTCCTTCACTCTGTATACCTGGCTCTCCAATTAAAATAAACAGATCTTTTTTTAAAAATTCACAAAGGTTAGTTGCAGTATGAATTGGAAAGCATAATCAGCTTTTTATTCTTTGTTGTGTTAGAAACCATTGCTCTTATCTTGTGCTCTGAATGGATTTTAAAGCATGCTTGATTTTATACTATTATCCACTACAATCTGGGAAATATTGGCTCATAGGGTTATGCGGATCTTCTAAATATTGACACTTCCATTATGCTGTTACATTATATTATATTATTTCATATTTTTAAAAAGTCACATCTATTAATGCCACCATTTCAACATCAGTGTCTTTAAAGGTTAGGAATCTTGGGGACCAATGTGATGGCCTAGCAAGCTGAGCCTCCACCTGTGACGTCAGCATCCAAATGGATACTGAATTCTGACGTCTCTGCTTCTGATCCAGCTCCCTGCTGATGGCCTGGGGAAAGCAGCAGCAGAGGCCCCAGTGCATGGATCCTTGCACCCATGTGGGAAACCTGAAAAAGCTCCTGGCTGCTGGTTTTGGACCAGCACGATGCTGGCTCTTGCTGCCATTTACCAGTGAACCAGCAGATAAAAGATCTTTCTTTCTCATTCTGTCTCTTCTCCGCTTTCTCTGCCTTTTAAATAATAAATCAAAAATAATTTAAAACATAAATATTGGGAATCTACCCCACTAAAGTGATTTACTGATTTTTTTTTAATGCTGGATTTTTTTAAAAAAAGATTTATTTTTTCATTTTTTATTGGAAAGTTAGATTTACAAAGCGAAAGATCCATTCACTGGTTCACTGCTTAAGTGGACACAATGCCCAGAGCTGAGCCAATCCAAAGTCAGGAGCCAGAAACAACTTCTGAGTTTCCCGTGTGGATGCAGGGTCCCGAGGCTCTGGGCTATCCTCCACTGCCCTCTCAGGGCACAAGCAGATTGAGGCATGGGAAGTAGAGCAGCCAGGATGGAAACTGGTGCCCATATGGGATCCCATGGATGTAAGGCAAGGATTTAGCCACTAGGTTATTGCACAGGGCTCTTAAATGCTGATTTTTACTTTAAGCTCAAATATTAACATTTAAGAAGTTGATTGTTTTTCATAAAGTAAAAAACTGACTTCACATTTGAATGTTTGCCCAGTAATAAAGCAGCAAAGTCTGAATGCCCATAGTTTGTGTGCCAGATTTTTAATTCTGTGAAAAAGGCAATTTGTTCATCTCTAGCTGAATTAAGTAAGTGATTCTTCTGGAAACATTGTTCTTTGGCACTTACCTCCCATTCTGTCACTCAGAATGTTTAAAAAATGCTTAATGGTCAATTAATAATTCTTTAGATTTATTTATTTTTATTGGAAAGTCAGATTTGCAGAGAGAACGAGAGACAGAGAGAGCTTTTCTGTCCACTGGTTCACTCTCCAAATGGCTGCAAGAGCCGAAGCTGAGCCGATATGAAGCCAGAAGCCAGGAATGACTTCTGGGTCTCCCATGCAAGTGCAGGGTCGTAAGCAGGGAGCCAGATGGAAGTAGGGAGCTGAATCATGAACCAGAGCCCATGTGGGATCCCAGTGCTTGCAAGGTGAGGATTTAGCCATTGAACCACCATGCCTGGCCCACAGTAATGTCTTGATCCTTCATTAAGGACATTCTCAAGTGAGACAGATTTTTCTTGTTAGTGTGGTGGCAGGAGACACAGTGACCATCAGCAGTTGTGTGGCCCCTTCATGATTGATGGAGATGCAGTCAGTGATGACATCAGCGCAGTAGAGAGGACAAGCTATAGGATTATATGTCAGTGTGATTGGGAAGATTGGTGGCCTCTCAGACCACCCCACAGGTTTTCAGACCTTTGGTGTACACATATTTTGAAAGTTAGTGCTTTAGAGAAATGAAAATTATGGGATCTAGAATCAGCAGAATTTAGAGCTGAAGATATTCTCTAGAGAAACAAAGATGAGTTGTTTAACTATAAAGAATCTTTAAAAATCTGTGGATATTAGGATTATGAAAAAATCTTTGCATGGATTTCAAAATTCTTTGTGCCAAAATAAGCCTGTTTTTTTTCTTTAGATTATCTGTCTAAAAGGCAGTTGTAGATTGATTGATTGATCTTTTCTCCACTGTTTCACTCCTGAAATGGCTAGAGTTTGGACAAGCCAAAGCGAGTAGCCAAGAATTCCATCTGGGTCTCCCACATAGAGGCAGCAAAAGCTCATAGACTTGACTATCTTGTGCTGCTCATTGGTAGGGAGCTGAACCAGAAGCGAACAGCTGGCACTGGATCTGGTGCTTTGCTATGGGATGCCTAATGTTTTAATTCCATGAGCTTTGTCACAGTATCCTTATGTGTCCCAAGGCTTTGGGCCGTCCTCGACTGCTTTCCCAGGCCACAAGCAGGGAGCTGGATGGGAGCGCCAGGATTAGAACTGGCACCCATATGGGATCTCGGTGCGTTTAAGGCGAGGTCTTTAGCCGCTAGGTTACGCCTCCGGGCCCATCCTATTTATCTTAAAATGTCACTCTTGGTCCCGTTTTTTATCTTCTTTGTCCTTTTGCCCTCCCTTTATTGTTCTTGAAACCATCTAGTCTTCTTGCCTGCCCTGTCCTACTTTGTTCTATTTGGAAGCTTATTTCCCTTTCCAAAGTATAGACTTCAAAGGTAGACCTAGTCTCTTGGTCATCTTCTTGCCCTCTCAGCCCAGTTCAGTGCATTGCTGTGCAAGCCGTCTCCTTTGCTCTGATTGAATAGCTACCCTCTTTGTCATCTAAGTAGAGCAAAGCCCTTGGTGCTATTTTCCCCACAGTTTAGGAAAGCCCTGCAGTCTCTTTAAACTTAATTGTGAATGATGTTACTATAAGTATCAGAGAGAATGACCAGGAAAATTAAGTGAGTCAGTTCACATGAAATGCCTGGCACACTGTAAGCTGTACTCCAATGATATCTATTATCCTAGTAATAAAAATGTTATCATCATCTATATTACCAGCACTAAAATCATGTCAAAATATGTTAGATCCTAAACAAGTCCTGTTTTGTTTTGCTTTAAAAAAAAAAAAAAAGAGTAAGTTTTTTTTTTTCATTCATTGTTATTTAATATACCCTGGCTTAATAAGCATGGATATATCCAGCCACTTTGTACTGAAGCTATAAATTTCCCTGTGTTAATTTAAGTGGTAAGCTTTCCTGTGCCCTATTGGACTGTGCCTCACCACCCTGTATTCCCCCCTGCAGATATGGTGTTGGTCCTGCCACAATGGAAGTTCCCTTTTGAAGATGTCAGCACTGCCCAAAGAACAGGATGATGGCATTTTACAAATCCAGAAGAGCTTCTTGGATGGGTCAGTTCCAGTTTACGTTTTGTTCTTGTTTAATTCAGTGCCTGTTTTCTAAGGTGCAAAGAACAGTTTTTAGTGCTTTGTCCATCTGTTTACTTGGTAATAGTTTAATGCTGGGGGAATACAACTCACAAATGGTTGTTTTAATTACTTTGAGAATGGTCAGTATAGCAAATTATGAAGAATGTCAATGCAAAATGTTTAGCCGTACATACTAACATGTTTAGCAGAGAGGTGCCATAACAGCTGTTATTTCACAGCTGACAAATCAATGTCATGGTAAATGCCACTTCTCCAAATGTTTGAAATTTTTCAAAATAAATAGCAAAACATGCAGGTCGGATAAATTTAAAAAGGGAGTAAAAACTTTGGGGTTGAATTTGTCTTGGTCCCAGTCATGTCTCCATCAGTTTTTTGAGCTTGACAGTCTTGGGCCTGCTGGTTCTACTGTGTGAGCCTCTGTTCCTGGGTGGGTGGACTGGGGACAGCAACCTGCTGCAGTTATCACCAAGGGAAGAGTTGCACCGGGGCTGCCCACAGAGCTCTCGATACTGCAATGTGCAGGAATTCTGAGGAAAAAATAAACTATGCTGAATTCAGGTTTGCCTTCCTAATCTTGTGTTAATTTTTCATACCTAGGATTTACAAGACCATCCACAGGCCACCCTATGAAATTGTTAAAACTGAGGACCTATCTAACAACTTCCTACCCCTTCAGGAAATCCAGGCGGCATACTCTAAATTTAAGCAGCTGTTTCTCATAGGTGAGAAGAATGCTGAGCAAAACTTTCTGTCAGACAGGGAAAGACATGCCACATGGATCAGGTGCAAGTCAGTGCCTTTTCCCTGGACTCCTTATGGTACTGTGCAGATGTTGCCAGCCCTGAAATCACTTCTTCCTGTAAAAATGTGTGAGCCTATGGTCATTGACGTGCAGTCTTTTGTAAGTAGTATGAGCTGTTTTTTTTTTGAATCAGTGGACTTCCTTCCCAAAGTGCAGTTACCATGCTTGTCCTCTCAGCTGGGCATAAACAGTTTCCTACAAGCTAAATGAAATGTACAAACTAGATTATGAAATATGTCTTGTCCAACTGCCCCATTTCCCTGCCCAGGCTGTCTACTAGTATCAGTTTAAACTTGGTTTTCGTTTAATAATGCTCAATCACCTGTAGAGTCTCTCCATTCCAGAAATGGTTTTTAAAAATATTGTATTTATTGGGAAAGTAGAACTACAGAGAAATATCTTCCAGTGGCTGTGGCTGGGCCACACTGAAGCCAGGAACTTAATCCAGGTCTCCCCTGGAGGTGACGTGGGTCCCAAGCGCGTGGGTCATCCTCTGCTGCCCCCACCCCTACCCCCCCAGGTGCATTAGCAAGGAGCTGAATCAGAATTGGAGCAACCAGGACCTCAAATTGTGCTCATATGGGGTTCCCCAGCATCATAGGTGGTAGTTCCATTTCCCATCCTGCTTGTCTGCTTGTGGCCGGGGGAAATAGTAGAGGATGGCCGAAAGCCTTTCCAATCAGTAGATTTACAGAGAGAGAAAAAAAAACACAGATATTTTTCATCTGCTTGACCCCTCCCCATATAGCCACAATGCCCAGAGTTGAGCTCATCCAAAGCCAGGAGCTCCTTCTAGGTCTCCCACTTGGATGCAGGGTTCCAAGGTTGAGCCCTGCTCTGCTGCTTTCTTAGGCCATAAGCACAGAGTTGGATCAAAAATTAAGCAGCTAGGACACAAGCTGGCCCCACAATGCCAGCCTCTTTAATTTGATTTTTTTTTTTAATTTTAAAATTTATTTTTTATTTGAAAAGCCGAGTTAAACAGAGAGAAGGAGAGACACACAGAATCTTCCATCTGCTGGTTCATTCCCCAGATGCTGCATTTGCTGGAGTTGGGCTGCTCTGAAGCCAGGAGCTTCTTCCCAGTCTCTCATGTGGGTGCAAGGACTATGCTTAGATCATCCTCCACTGCTTTCCCAGGCCATTAGCAGGAAGCTGGATCAGAAGTGGAACAGCTGGAACTTAAGCCAGCATCCATTTGAGTTGTTAGTGCTGCAGACAGGCTTAGCATACACAGCCCCTACTAATTTTTTTTTTTAACATTTCAGTTTATTTATTTAATTGAGAGGCAGACAGAGAGCCAGCAAGTAGAAGCTCCTGTTCGCTAGTGTACTCCCCAACTGTGGGCACTGACCCCAACTGAGGATAAAGCCAGGAGCTAGTAACTCTATCCAGCTCTCTCATATTAAGGGTAGAAACCAAATTACTTGACTCCATTATTGCTGCCTCCTAGAATCTGCATTGAGTAAGGACATGGGTGTCTTAAATGGTGTTCTAACCCCTAGGCCAATAAGCTGTCCTAACTTTAGCCTGATGAACTCTTAGTTGTTTTAGCATTTAGGTGACATTTGTCATCTTCAAACAAATTCATGGAAAATGCATAATACAAATAAACTTCATGGATTTCAAGCTTTCTTTGTACCAAAAGAAACTTGTCTTCAAAAAATTTTTTTAAAAATTTATTTATTTTTATTGGAAAGGCAGATTTACAGAGATAAGGAGATACAGAGAGGAAGATCTTCCATCCATTGATTCACTCCCTAAGTGGCCGCAATAGCCAGAACTGAGCCGATCCGAAACCAGGAGCCATGAGCTTCTTCTGGGTCTCCCATGCGGGTTCAGGGTCCTCAAGGCTTTGGGCCGTCCTCGACTGTTTTCCCAGGCCACAAGCAGAGAGATGGGTGGGAAGCAGGGATTCCAGGATTAGAACCAGCAACCATACGGGATCCCAGTGCATGCAAGGCGAGGACCTTAGCCACTAGGCCACCATGCTGGGTCCATAATATTTTTATTATTGGTTACATGGTAGGTAAGAATGCAAGCCCATGTAGGCGTGCAGTTAGAGTGTGGAGGGTTGAGGTATGGAGGTTGGGCAAATGTTTCCATTTTTTTCCTCCTGTGTCCGTAAAGAGGGAAGTGGAGGGGGCCACTCCTTGCTGTCAAACTTCATCAGCACCCAGGGATAGGGACAGTCATTTGATGTGGGGAAGAGTGTTCTGAGGGTGTTACCTGAGTAGTTTTGATAGTTCAGAGAAGTCATTGGCTTTGTTGCTCCAGGGTTGAGAAAATCTTTCTAGGTTGTATTATTGGTTGAGTAAATCCAGCTTAGTACATTTACAGCCCAGGAACAAGATACAAAGCACTTGACATCTTCTGCTGGCCTAGATCTTTCTCTGTTTCTCCTTCTTTCTGCAAGTCTGACTTTCCAACAAATCTTTAAAAAAAATTAGTATATATATTTTAATTTTTACAAAATGTCTATTTATTTTTTTATTAGAATGACAGGTCAGATTTACAGAGAGACAAAGATCTTCCATTGACTGGTTCACTTCCCAAATAGGACATGAACTAGTGCCCATTTTGGATCCCAGTTACAAGATGAGAATTTAGCCATCGAGCCATTGTACCAGACCCAAGATTAATTTTCTGTACTTGAAAAAGTTGAAGAGATGGAATAGTGACATGGCAGGTAGTGGCTTTACCTGCCGTCCCACAACCCCAGCCCTTGTGTAGGCACCTCTTCTTTCAGCCAAAGACCTCTTTTAGACCATCACATGCTTCTTCTATAAGGCTAGAGTTTAGAAACCAATTGACCGGGCCCGGTGCAGTGACGCAGTGGTTAAGGTCCTCGCCTTGCACGCCCAGGATCCCATATGGGTGCCGGTTCTATCCCGGCAGCCCCGCTTCCCTTCCAGCTCCCTGCCTGTGGCCCGGGAAAGCAGTCGAGGACGGCCCAAAGCTTTGGGACCCTGCACCCGAGTGGGAGACCCGGAAGAGGCTCCTGGCTTCAGATCGGCATAGCATCGGCCATTGCGCTCACTTGTGGAGTGAATCATCGGACGGAAGATCTTCCTCTCTGTCTCTCCTCTCTGTATATCCGCCTTTCCAATAAAAAAATAATAAAAATAAATCTTAAAAAAAAAAAGAAACCAATTGACCGAAGTTTGGAAATTCCATTTACTGAGATAGACAGCCCTGTGCGTAAAATCTGTACTTTGAGTCTAAGACCATTAATCCGGTGAGCAGCACAGATTTGGGGGTGGCCTTGATGGGAGCAATGACAGGTAACCTTCCCTTACCTCTTTGCTTTGCCTTCCTTTTTTCAGATAACAGCACTGAATTTTGGGACACTGATATAAAGTGGTTTTCTCTGTTGGAAAGTAGCAGCTGGTTTGACATAATCAGGTATTTTAAGCTATTGTTTTGCTCATGAATTTTTAAATTGTCTAATTCAAGAAAATAGAGTTGATAGAAGACTAATGTGTTTGCTGTTACACATGAAATATCCTTAGCTCCGTGTACTGTTCAAAGCTTGACTGGGTTTTGCATTTTCTTTTTTTTTTTTTTTTTTTTTTTTTGGTATTTGGGAATTTACAGTCCTGCTACCTGCTTGAAAGGAAATACAGTTTGTAGATGAAGCATTGGAAAACCAGAGAATGGCATAGGCAGTCCAAAATTACTGTTCAGGCACTAGGACCAGCCTTGGCAGACACCAGAGGAGAGTGGCAGAGATCCTGGCCTTTCACTGAATGCTTTTTTGCATTTTTATCTTATATGCTTATGAAAAGCTTTAAAATCATGACTTAAGTGAATCCTTTTGATTTTGGAGCTAACTTGAGGTGTCAGTTCCGTTGCTTGTACCATTCACTGTGAGAAACAGCTCTGCTCCATTGTCACTAGTGGATAGAGCAGATGCCTAGAATGCGAGGATGGCCATGGCCCTTGTCTCCATCTGAGGAAAGAGGAGAAGCTTCTGTCTGCCTGGCGTAGGTCTCACCATGCAGAGTGCTGGATGTGTTGTGCTGCGAGAAGCCCAAGCCCTCCGGACGCCTTACAACTATACTCTCAGGAGCCTGTCCTGAGTGCCCCCAGAGTTTGAATATATGATTTCAGGCAGTGCCAAATGTTGCCAAAGAACCCTTCTTTTTGTAGGGTGCGCGCATAAGGGCAAGCATCCATAACCAAACAAAGTGTCTGAGTGTTGGGGGTGAGTTACTGGTTTGGGCAGGCGTGGTAGCAGAGGGAAGACAGCCTAGGTTGCCATCCCTCTTAGTAAACTGGGAACAAAGCCATCTTTAGAGGAAGACAAAGGATTTCTGAACAGACTCAGTCTTTTTTGCCACCCTGATAAATTCACCCCTGTGCAGCAGTTACCTGGGGCAGTTGGCTGTTTCATATTACCGGGTGTAGTGTTTCTATGTCTTGTTAGGATTCACCATCAGACACAGGTAGGAATTTCCAACAAGAATTTCTAGTTTGGAAATAGCCTAGCAGCATTTGTACATCAATTCCGAGATTTCCTTTTGAAATTGTTCCATCTGCAGATGAGTGTCTTCTGGCATATGAATGCTGTAAGTGGTAATTGGTTTCTTTTTCTGATGTTTTTGACATGTGTTATAGATCAGGTAGAAAACCAAAGATCAGTCAGAATATCTCCAATCTTATTGTTTGTGGTACCTAGATGAAAACCTATGGTTATCTTTCTCCTTTTTAGACGTTGCCTGAAAAAAGCAATAGAGATTACAGAATATCTGGAAGCACAAAATATGAACGTTCTTCTTTTAGGTAATATATTTAAAGTGTAAAGGATGATTGTGTACTTTTTAAAAACATACTTTTAAAAATATGTTTATTTTTACTGGAAAGACAGATTTACAGAGAGAGCAGAGACACAGAGACAGATCCTCCATCTTTTGGTTTTACTCCTGACATGAATGCAGTGGCCGGTCTGCAGCCAAGAGCCTGGAGCTTCCTCTGGATCTTCCATGTGGGTGCAGGGTCCCAAACACTTGGGCCATCCTTCGCCACCTTCCCAGCCACATTAGCAGGGAGCTGGCTCGGAAGTGGAGGAGCTGGGATTTGAACCAGCCCTACATGGGATGCCAGGACTGTAAGCAGGCTTAATCTATGCAAGGTGCCAGCCCCATTGTTTTTTTAAGCCACTTTCTTCCCTCCCTTCCTCCCTTCCTCCCTCCCTACCTCCCTTCCTTTCTTCTTTCCTTCCTTCCTTCCTTCCTTCCTTCCTTCCTTCCTTCCTTCCTTCCTTCCTTCCTTCCTTATTTGAAAACACAGTTATAGAGGAAGAGGCAGAGATCTTCCATCTGCTGGTTCACTTCACTAATGGCTACAATGACTAGAGCTGCACTAGCTGAAGCCTGGAACTTCATCTGGGTCTCTTATATACCAGAGCAGGGACCAAGAATGGACTGTCTCCTGCTTTTCCCAGGCCATTAGCAGGGGGCTGGATTGGAGCTGGAACAACTCAAACACAAACTGTTGCCCATATAAGGTGCTGGCTTTGCAGGTGGTGACTTTACTTATTACCACACAACACCAGTCCCCAAAATAAATGTTGTAATCCTTTGTCTAGAGACCCATTCACTGTTGTTTTATATCTTTGGAGTTTTATGACTTAGTACAATTACCATGTAAAGTATGTGGTCTGTGATTTCCTTCTGCTCAGTTGGGTTAATATTACTGTACATCTGACAGTGGCATAAACATACAAAGTGTGTAAAAGCAAATGTAAGCTATCATGTAGTAACGAGTACTGCTATAACTTGTTCAACATGAGCTAAATATTTACCTAAATACTCTGTACTATATAGAATATCATAAATAAAGTAAATGCCTTGGGGCTTTTATACCCCAGCCAGCTTTTTTCATTTCTCAGATACTCTCCATGATTGTGGAATTTAAATTGTAAGAGCAGACTGGAAAATATGTCTTCCTGATGATTGTTGCTTTAACCATTTTGTTAATACCCAAGGAAGAAAGGTAGAATGGGACACTGGATAGCTGAGTGCTTGGTGAGAGGGGCAAAGATTTGTATCTGAGGAGTCCAAGGCTATGCTACAGTGATTGCAGAGATGAACTTAAATGTCTAAACCTGGGTCCAGCATGATGGCTCAGCAGCTAAATTCTCAGCATGCGTGAGCCGGGAGCCCATTGTGTCCCGGCTTCTCCACTTCCTATCCAGCTCCCTGCTTGTGGACTGGAAAAACAGAAGGCATCAGCCTAAGGTGTTGGGACCCTGCACCCGTGTGGGAGACCTGGAGGAAGCTCCTGGCTCCTGGCTTTGGAGTATTTCAGCTACAGTCATTGCAGCCATTTGGGGAGTAGACAGAGGAGAGTTCTCTGTGTCTCTCCTCTCTTGATCTACCTTTCCAGTTAAAATAAAATAAATCTTTTTCGAAAAAGGTGTCTCTAAATCCTGCATTGACTACTGAATTTTTCTCTTTGAAATCTCGTTTTTGCAACCTCTCCTGACGGCTTACAGCTGCAAAGATTGCCTTAAAAATGTGTGGTGGTGGGTGTTTGCTTAGGACAGCCACCATTCTTAGTGGTATATGTCAGGTCCCCTGACTCTGCTTCCCATTTCATCCGTGCTACTGCACATGCTTACAGATGGCAAGTGATGGCGCACAGGCCTAGATCTGTGCTGTGCCTGTGGATGGTGCTCCGGGCTCCTTGCTCTGGCCTGGCCTAGCTCTGACTGCGTGGTCATCTGAGCAGTGAGCTAGCAGATGAGAGATCTATGTTTGTCTCTCTGACTTTCAAATAAACAAGTTTATTTTTTCCCCAGAAACTTATTTTGAAAACTGGCAAAGTGGAGGATAGAAATGAAATTTTGTTTCTTCTAAACCCAATTCTAACTGTAGTTTAGACTTATTTCCTGGATGAGACTAGTGTAAGCCTGGACCAGCACAATAGATTTCTGACAGTGTGAATATTTCCCTAATTAAAATGCATTTTTAAGTTTCTCTCCTAAAAATACCAGCACTGTTTTCCTCATTGGTATTTTTTTTTAAAATTGATTTGTACTTAGTTTTGTAAACAGGAAACCATGGGATTATACACCTTAACTTTTAAGAATGTAAACCCCAAGATAAAGCATGGCTAGAATGGTGTGTGTGTGTGTTTAAGTTATTTTCATTTTATGTCAGAAGAGGAAAGAGAAACCTTCCAATTGCTGCCTCATTTCCTTAAATTCTCATAAGAGCCAGAGCTTGCCCAGGTTGAAGTCAGGAGCCTAAAATGCCATCGGGTCTCCTATATGGCTTAGCAAGACCTTTTTTAAGATTTTTATCGGAAAGGCAGAATTACAAAGAGAAGGAAAGGCCGAGAGGAAGATCTTCCATCCACTGGTTCACTCCTCAAGTAGACACAACGGCCTGAGCTGAGCTGATCCAAAACCAGGAGCCAGGAACTTCTTCTGGGTCTCCCATGAGGGTGCAGGATCCCAAGGCCTTGTGCCATCCTCAGCTGTCCTCCCGGGTCACAAGCAGGGACACGAACTGGCTCCCATGTGGGATCCCTGCATGAGCAAGGTGAGGATTTAGCTACTGGGCCACCTTACTAGGCCCAGATTTGTGCTTTTTTTGTGCTGATTCATAAATGTTAAGCAAAGCCTGCTATATGGACAAAAGGAGGTAGACCCCGTGGGCATTTCTTCTCTAGGCCTGGCAGGGAGGAGCAGGCGCCTCTGGGCTTCTCCAGCCAGAGGAACAGAGTCTGGGAACTGACAATAAGAGCCTATATTGATGCAGTGTAGAACTGTTAAACTGCAAAGCAGAGTTCCTATAGTGCATTGGAGTGGAGGAACCATCTGAGGTGAGGTTAAAAAGCAGCCCAGCTAGAGCAGTAGCCTCAGTGATGGAGGCCTTGATGCCTGGGTGCCGAGGGAGGGAAGAGGGCACAGGCCTGCTCTGTAGGGCCAGCATCAGTGCGGGATTGAGTCCACTCAGATTTGGTCATCTGAAAGCCCACCACTGAGAGCAGATTAACATGTCTGCCAGAACCTGTGCTAGATGGGCTGAAAGCAATTTATGTTTCATCCGGGAAACGTGACCCTTTTTGCCCCGTGGCCTTTGCGTCTGGGGACTAGGAGCTTGACTGTGGCAGATTGGTGTGGGGTCTGTGAGGAACTGTGAGGTGAGAGCGCTCTGCAGGTTGCTGACTGGTACGCCCTTCTTCCTCCAGAAGAGAATGCCTCTGACCTCTGCTGCCTCGTCTCCTCTCTGGTGCAAGTGATGATGGACCCCCACTGTCGAACCAGGGCTGGTTTCCAGAGCCTCATCCAAAAGGAGTGGATCATGGGTGGCCACTGCTTCTTGGATCGCTGCAACCACCTACGCCAAAGTGAGAAGGAGGAGGTGCGTTAGCTTGCTGCACACTGACCGGTCCCGGGCAGAAGTGCCTGGTCTTTCCCTCAATGCCTGTCTTTAGGTGGGGTGTGCTTGCCAACTGCACACCACACAGCATTGTTAGGAAAACTGACATCAGGTCATTGCAGAATGACTTCAAGGGATTGGAATAGTAGTGAAACCTTCCCCAGAGGAAAAAGAGCCCACAGATGTGTTCAGAGTCTACACCAAAGGTGTGTACATACCGCATGGTGGAAATAACGCTGATTCGGGTAGATGGGAAGGATCCCAGTGAGACTCCTGCAATTTTTGCTGTAAGTGGGTTTTCTGCACATGTCAACCCTTTCCAACAAAGCACAGGGCTACATTCACACCAGCTGTGACCAGGACCATGGCCATGGCCTTTTCTGCACCTCTATGAGGTGCCTCGGGCCTAGAGTCAGCACAGCACAGTCAGCGTTTTCGTTCACTTCCAGCTTGTACTGGACTTGGCTGGGCACTGGCGGGGCTATCACTCCCTTCACGGCTGTGTAGATGATTAGCAGACAAATGAGAACAGATTTCCTCTCATTAAATCACCCGCTGAGCTGGTGCAGGCCTGTGGTCTAACCTGCATGGCCTGTGGCTTTGCTTGCTGTGGAAAGTCAGCTTGTGTGCCGTGGTGCAGAGCAGGGGGCCCAGCAGGCCATGTCAGGGAGCCCTGGCTCCTGCCTCTCGGTGTTCAGAGCTCCAGGGAAACGGCAGGCAAGTTCTCCAGGCCTGGCCTCTACTCATCTGTGTCTCATTAAGCTCAGCAGACCACCTTTTCAGCTTTGAAGGCACTCGGAGGAGCTAATGTGAAGGATGGTGAGTCATTACGTGAGCCTCAGAGAGTGAGAATATCTTTTCGTGTATCTTCAGAGAAGGGGCTGACAGCACCAGGTCTCATGGGGAGAGTCAGGACACATGATGTGCTCTTCCCCCAGCCCTTGGGGAAGTCACATTTCCTGACCCCATTTCCCTGACTATTCAGTGAGGTTCAAACAGATTCTGTCCTACTTTATAATAGTGTGCATAAGTTGAGGTGTGACATCAAGCTGTTCCAGGTTTGTTAGTGTCTAGGTGTCAGCGTGTGGGAATGTTGGGGATGAGTGGTGTCACTTGTGCTTAGTTCAAGAGCTGGATTTTCTCTTTGTCTCTCTTACAGACACACACACACACACACACACACACACACACACACACACACACTTCACTCTGACTTTATGTGAGACCTGGGCTAGCTCATCAGTATCTCCAGGCTTCATTTTCCCCTCCCTAAGGGACAGACTCACACAGCTGGCAGGATCACTGGGGAATCAGAAAGTAAAAGCCCTTTGTAAGTGACAGCACACCCTGGAGCCTACTGTCTCTGCTAATAGGGTTGGTCTCTGTAGCCAACAAATGAGGCCAATAGGCTTTAAGAATGTCATTGTGAAGGACTGTTGTACCACAGCTTACAACACCAGCATCTTGTATCAGAGCTGGTTCAGATCCCGGCTGCCTTGCTTCCAATGCAGCTCCCTGCTAATGTGTCTGGGAAGGCAGTGCAAGATGGCCTAAGTGGTTGTGCCCCTGCCACCCATTTGGGCAAACTGGATGGAGTTCTGGGCTTCTGGTTTTGACTTTTGGGGCCATTTGGGAAGTGAGCCATAGGGTGGTCCTCCATCACTATTATATTGCCTTTTTTTTAAAAAAAGATTTATTTTTATTATTTATTTATTGGAAAGGCAGATATACAGAGAGGAGAGACAGAGAGGAAGATCTTCCATCCGATGATTCACTCCCCAAGTGAGCCGCAACGGGTCGATACTATGCCGATCCGAAGCCAGGAGCCTCTTCTGGATCTCCCACACGGGTGCAGGGTCCCAAAGCTTTGGGCCGTCCTCGACTGCTTTCCCAGGCCACAGGCAGAGAGCTGGATGGGAGGTGGGGCTGCCGGGATAGAACCGGCGCCCATATGGGATCCTGGGCGTGCAAGGCGAGGACCTTAACCACTTGCATCACTGCGCCAGGCCCTATATTGCCTTTGAAAATGAATAAATGCATCTTTTTAAAACAATACCTTTGGGAGAAAATGTTGAAATTCACTGTTGCTGCTCTTTCTTCCGCCTGCGGGCTCTTGCTGTGGCTGGAGAGGGGAGCATCCCCATTTCGGGCTCCAGGACCAGTTCTTGATGCTTACCTAGCTGGTAGGGGGACAGGCAGCGGGATGGAGGGGTTTTTTTTGTTTTAAAGATTGATTTATTTGTTTGAGGGGTACAGTGCCAGATAGGGAGAGACAAGATCTTCCATCAGCCGGTTCACTCCCTAAATGACCACAACGGCCAGGGCTGGGATGGGCCAGAGCCAAAAATGAGGAGATAGAAATTCCATCCAGGTGTCTCACGAGAGTGACAGGAGCCCAGGTACTTGAACATTGCCCACTGCTTCCCCCGGGCATGTTAGTGAGAGCAGGATCAGGAGCGGAGTAGCCAGGATCAGGAGCGGAGCAGCCAGGACCTGAACTGGCACTCTGATCTTGGGATATTAGCTTAACCCATGCCAGTCCCAGTGTGGAAGTGTTTATCCTCATAATTCTTTATTGACAAGATGTAGATTACTAATCATAACTCAGTACAAGATTTTTTCAGTAACAGCCCTAATGAGAAAAATTGAATTCTTTTTTGGAGGAGGCAACATTTGGCTTGGTTGTGAATTAAAGTCAGTGTTCCTGTCACCAGAGTTAATTGCAAATGCTCTCTATTAGGGCTGGTCTATACTGAGACGTTATATATTTCATCTTTGAGATGCCTTTGACACAGATATTTCTTGCCAGATTCTGATATTAATCCCGGGCATGTGGTTTCCATTGACTTGGGGTGGGGTGGGGCAGCCTGTCTTTCCAGAGAATGCAGCCCTCAGCAGGAGTGGTCTGTAGCTGCTGAGAATGGCTGTTCCCGTTCCGGAAGACTCACACGGGGCTCTTGGCGGCTCAGTGACATGTATCTTGTTTCCATGTAGGTTCCTGTGTTCCTGCTTTTCTTAGATTGTGTCTGGCAGCTGGTGCACCAGTTTCCTCCGGCCTTTGAATTTACAGAGACTTACCTGACTGTTCTGTCAGACAGCCTGTACATACCCATTTTTAGCACCTTCTTCTTCAATTCACCTCATCAAAAAGATGCTAACATGGTAAGAGTCCCTTTCAGGAATCTGTGTATTAAAGAGGTTCCATTGCATAACGAGGATGCAATAATATTGATGCTAAGAAGATGTTGACTTAACCCAGGCTTAATGGGCTGTGTGTTTTTCTCCTCATGCCTGAGGAAGCGGAGGCACACAGAGCATAAGAAGCCAGCCCAAAGTCCCAGCAGAAGCAGGAATGGGGCAGGGAGGGCTGAGCTGTTGGTTTGGAAGAGGTCAGGTGCTGTCTCTCCTACTTGCCTGCTCCATGGGGTTACTATGTGAAGAGAGTGGCGAGCAGGCCCTGAGGGGAGCAAGCTGCTGAGCTCCTCCTGTCCATCCCCCCCATCCCAGGTCTTTGGAGACCATATACCCAGGGAGTTGGCCGCACTAGCTGCTGTCAGGGCTCCTGCCAGCTCTTCCCTGACCCTCAGGCCGCAGGAGCAAGGCTGCTTCCCAAATCCACAGTGCAGTGGGGACAGCGGGAGCCCAGCTTCCCAGTGCTTATTCCAGTCCTGCCTCACAGCAGCTCTAGTCCCCAGCTTGCTCAGGCCAAACATCTGAAACTTCCATCTCTTCAAATGTAAAATTGGAGAAATGCTAGTTCCCTAAGCAGGTGGTGGTGTAGGCACCCTGCACGTTGTCTGGCAAATGGTCTTCCAGAAGGAAAACGTCCTCCTTGCTCCCCTCTTCTACCCTAAAGCCATGAGGGGGCAGCCAGAGATCCCACAGCCTGGAGCGCTCCTGGCAGCAGCTGCCTTCCTGGTGCCAACTTCTCACACCACTGTGTTGGCTTTTCTCAGCCCTTGCTGGAAACCGAGGTGACATGTGCTTGTTTTGGCAGGGTAGGGAAAGCCTGGATTCACAAAGCAAGCCTTTGACTCCGTTCACCGTATGGGATTGGTCTATACAGTTTGGATCCAAAGCCCAGACGTTGCTCAGAAACCCTCTTTATGTCGAAAAGTCAAAACTGGACAAAGGCCAGCGGAAAGGAATGCATCCCAAAGTAAGACGTACATCTGTCTACACCCCTGATGGCTGCCTCAAGTTTGTGTGTGTGTGTGTGTGTGTGTGTAGGAATAAAAGTGACTTTTGCATGTCGTCTGGCAGCATATGCTTCCCCCTTGAAACAATCTACAGGATCAAGGTTTGTGTTGGGTAAGTTGTCAGGCTCCGTGCAAATTCATGGTCCTGATGAGCCCCAGCACTGAGGTGCTGCTGCCATGGCTACACTGCAAAGAAACATGTTCCCTGTTCCGCCTCCATGTGCTTAGAGGAACAGAGCACTGGGGATAGAGGTTTTACTTGAGAAGTTCCAGTTCATCTGTTAGTAAGACTTTGCTTAGTGCTTTCTGTCAAGGGTGATGCAGTTTTTGTCCCCAGTCTGCTGTTCTCAAAAGCAGCTATAGATGATACTCCAAAGTGTAGACATGGCTGTAGGCCAGCACTCATGAAAACAGGTGCCAAGACGTTGGACCTGAGGGTTGTAGTTTGCTGATCCATGCCATGATCCACAAACATTAAAGCGGTCTTTTGGGGGGACCAGTACTATGATACAGTGCATAAAGCTGCTGCCTGCAGCTCTGACTTCCCATGTGGTTGCCAGTTTGCGCCCTAGCTTCTCCGCTTCCCGTCTTGGGCCCCTGCACCCATCTGGGTGAACTGGAAGAGGCTCCTGGCTCCTGGCTTCAGCCTAACTCAGCCCCATTTGTTGTGGCATTTGGGAAGTGAGTTGGTGGATAGGGGATCTCTCTCTGACTCTTTCTCTAAGTAGGCCTTGCAAATAAGCTAAAAAATATTTTTTTTGAAGGACTACTTTTCTGATATTTTGTGCCTGGTCTTACTGTTTATTAAATTTCCAATGTTCTCTAGTGATTTGCTTCTGGCCTGTAGTCTCTTGCTGACTGACCTTATTCAAGGAGAGCAGTGATGATAAGTGAAGTTGACGAGTCCATATTCTTCTCAAGTTGATCATGAGGATTTGCAGGAGACCTTTCCTGTCCTGAAGTGGGAATTGATTCTCTTCTAAAGAAGTCTGGGGATGTAGATGGGCCAATTCCAGCTCGCAGGGACAGTGTCGGGCACACAGAGCTGCCACTGTGCTCCGGGTTCTCAGGCCTACAGCGGTGCTTTTCCTCTTCTGGGGTAATCCAGGGTGAGCCTGAGCGTCTGGGGCTTGGCTGGAGAGTTTTTCTTCAGTGTGCTGCGCCCTCTGGTGGGCTGCATGCACACTTTTCCTGAGCCCTTGGCTAGAGTCAGACTTGCCTCTGAGTGGCAGGAGACCTCAGAAACAGCTGCCCTCCCCTTCACAGTAACAGAGAGGAAACTAAGGCTCCACTGTCTAAAAATGGGGCTCATTTCTGTGTCGAAATCCGAAGTTTCTAATAGTACTTTCTCCTTGTAGATAGTGACAGGTTGCCAAGGCTCTAAGGAGCAGCGGTTCAGAGAAATTTGAGCCCTACAGGTGGAGAATTTAATTTGATACTGGGTAAAGCAGAGTTGGAACTCAGGCAAGAAAGAGATTAGAAACTTTGGACACTTTCTTGAATTGCCACTTGGCCTCGGAGACGTTCTAGAGAGATTCTGAGGAAGCTGGGACTGACCAGTGCTAAGTACAGCTCTGAATTGTTGTGCAGCCAGCAGGATTCAACTCAGGCATCTGAGCTCCACTGCTGCCTGAAGGCCGGGCCAAGCTCTGGGCATTTGGCACTGCTTCCCCTTAGTGTGTCTGCAATGTCCGCTTTACACAGGAGACTGGTGGAGGGAGGTTCCAGGACCAAGTGGAACCCAGCCAGCAGCCCAGCTCTAGAGGGAGCCGCCTTAGGTTTCCTAGTTGTTGAAGTGGACACCGTAACAGAAGTGAATGTCACCTGTAAGCGCTGAGCACAGAGCCTGTAGGCAGTGAACGTGCAGGGATGGCTAGCTTCTATTTACTTAAGTGGAAATGGAGTTCCAGGGGAAGGAGATCTTCATTCGCTGGTTCCCTCCCCATATGGCTACAATGATCAGAGCTGGGCTGATCAGGAACTAAGAGTTTCTTCAGGCTCTGCCATGTGGGTGCAAGGGTCCAAGCACCTGGACCATCTGCTGCTGCTTTCGCAGCTGAATTAGCAGGCAACTGGATCATAAGTGGAACAGCAGAGACCAGCTGGTGCCCCCCAGTGGCTTTAGCCACAGTGCTGCCCCTTTTATAATTTTTCAAATTAAAAAAAAAATTAAGTATGTATTTATTTGAAAGTCAAAGTTACAGAGAAAGAAAACACAGGTAGACAGATTTTCATGCACTGTTCACTGCCCAGAGGGCCACAGTAGGGAGGGCTGAACCGGGAGTTTTCTCTGTCTCCACCATGGATGGCAGGGACCAGACCCCAGGCCATCTTTGACTGCTTTTCTAGTCCATTAGCAATGTACTGGATCAGACTTAGAGCAGCCTGGCACTTAAACCTGTGCTCACAGTTGGCAGCATTAACCACTACAGCGTTAACTGGTCTCAGCCCTTCCTCTGGGCAGTGTTTCTGCCTTTGTTGTCCTTGGCCAGAAGAACCTTTATGATTTAGGCTTAAACTCCCTCTGGATACCTGATAAGCTATCAAGTTATTTCATCCACGCGGCAGGATGCTCAGCAGTCAGCAGTGCTTCCTTGTGTTATCAGGCCTACAGTGCTCAAGAAAGAAACATTTTGCTCCCTTTAAAGGCAAACAGACGTCACCTTCAGACTCCCCTAAATTGTTCAACTACACCATTTTCTCCAAAGTGCTGCACAGATACCATGGATGCCTGGTTTACCCCACCTGTTCACAGTGCCACCTACTTGCACATTTGTGTGCTGGTAGCCCAGGAAGCCCCTTCCTGTCTGTGTTACTGTGTTTTAATGAGTGTGCAGACACAGGCCTGGTTTGGTATGTCTGGGTACTTATGAAAACAGGATATGGGCCCAGCACAGTGTTCCAGTTGGCTAATTCTTCTTCAAGCGCCGGGATCATATGCAGGCACCAGGTCATATCCTGGCTGCTCCGCTTCCCAGCCAGCTCCCTGGCCTGGAAAAGCAGTCGAGAATGGCCCATGTGGGAGACCTGGAAGAAGCTCCTAGGTCCTGATTGGCTAAGTTCCAACTGTTGCAGCCACTTGGGGGATGAGCCCGTGAATGGAGGAACTTTCTCTCTGTCCTTCCTTGTCTTGGTAAATCTGTCTTTCCAATAAAAATAAATAAATCTTTAAAAAAATCTGAATCCCCTGTTTCACACTTAGAGATGATTAAAATTCCACTTTTTAAAAACAAAAAGAAAATTATGACCTTTTTTATGGTAACAATTTTAACTGTACCTGTTATGTTTAACCAGAGGTGTTTCTGTTTTCTCTCAAAGCATCGACGACAGCTATCTTTGCCACTCACCCAGTCTAAGTCATCTCCCAAAAGAGGATTTTTCAGGGAAGAAACAGATCATTTAATTAAAAACCTCCTGGGCAAGAGAATTAGCAAACTGATTAATTCTTCTGATGAGCTTCAAGACAACTTCCGGGAGTTCTATGACAGTTGGCACAGCAAGCCTACCGACTACCATGGCTTGTTGCTACCTCGTATAGAGGGACCAGAAATCAAAGTCTGGGCCCAGCGCTACTTGCGTTGGATTCCAGAAGCCCAAATCGCAGGTGGTGGCAGAGTGGCCACGATGAGCAAACTGTTTGAAATGATGGAGGAAGTCCAGAGCTTACAAGAGAAACTCAATGAGAGATGCCACCCCCAGGAACCCCTCCAGACTGAGACCCCCTGCCTGCTGCGAAACTCTGCTCGCCTCTCCTCCCTGTTCCCCTTTGCTTTACTCCAGCGGCATTCGTCCAAGCCCATCTTACCCACCAGCAGCTGGAAAACTTTGGGAGATGAAGAAGATCTGGCTAAACGAGAAGATGAGTTTGTGGACCTCGGCGATGTGTGACCTGTGCATCGGGTCGTTGTTATAGGACAGTGTGAGAGATTGGGACAGTTGATCCCAGGCTTAGTGTTAGGCTCATCTAATCCTGGGAGGGTCGTTAGCCCAGCACTGTGGTGGAGAAAACCAGGGACTTCAAAAGAGCCGATTCTTGGGTTTTTGCTTTTGTTTTTTTTTTTTAAATCCTGAAAGACTATGCAATTAAGACTATTTCTCTGGCATTAATAATTGGAAGGAATTACAACTTGACCCATCATAGGATTATGACCATTTTCTGATGCCTAAGTATTGTACAAAACCTGCAGTTGCCAGTTTACTGCCAGAAAAGGGCTTTGGTAAGATATCCTTGGACTTGATAACTTCCACTCTTTTTCTGTGCCAAGATCACTTATCCAGTCACTGGAGACACTGAGTTCTCTAGAACCCATTTTAAAAGGAGCAATTCAACTTGATGTGATACTTGCATGGGAATGGAAATCTTCTGACAGGTGTTCAGATGCACTTACCTAAACCATAGCATTTTTCCTTTCCTTGTCTGTCAGAAACCTGGGAAATGCCACAAGTGTCACTTGCCCTAATGCTTCAGAGCATCCTCCCTCCTGCCTAGACTGTGTCACCCCATGTGGGGTGGAAGGACCAGCCAGTGCCCTCCACCTGTGCTGGCAGCTCCAGGTCCTCCTCTGAGCTGCCCTACAGCGCTTGCCGCTGACCCTCTGCTCCCCACCCCAATGCACAAAGTCCCAGGGTCTTGCTGCTGACTTTACACGGCCGCATTGGAAGGTTGGGTCCCTGTCGGTTTTTCCAGAGAAGCTTCCATTCCTCTGTCAGCGTGGAACTCCTGCTTTGCCGCTGGGTTGTCACTGGCTGATGCTCTTGGGTGCAGGTGCGGGGGCCGCCCTGCAGCAGCTGCCCAGCCGGCTTCCTCGCATTCTCCGTTCCTCTCACAGACTCATGGGTGGGTCTCCTTTGAATGTGGCTTTCATAGGAAAGCAGTTAGACATAAATTTCAGAAGTGATGTCTATCACATGATACCTCAGTGAATTAAGAAGCCATAGAAGAAATTTGGTGATGCCTCGTCACCTTCTTGAATCTGCTGTCTAAGTGAGAAGTATATTTTCCTATTTTTTTTTTTTAAGCAAGGAAGTGTACTTTGTAAAGACTTGTTTTTGTTTTTGGTTTTTCATTTTCAGTGGCACCCTGTCAAAACCCAGAAAAGGAAGGGAAAAAAGCTTACATTAGAGTGTTTCAAATCAAATGTATCCTTTTTTAGAGACACCTGCTTTTCAGGCTAGATCTCAAATTGAATGTTACAAACAGGTTTAGGGAAAGTTTTGGTAGCTCAAAGGTGATAAGAAATGTTTAAACTGTTGGCCAAGTGGAATTTCTGTTTGCACTTCATTGTCTGTCCAGGCAGTAAGCTGTTTGTTCTCCCCTCTGCGTGTTGACGCAGGAGCCTTGCTGCTCTGTCACGATGACCGGGCCCAGGGGAGGGTAGATTCGTGCATCTGGGGGCCAAACACGTATTCAGTCTCGGTTGCCTTAAGAGCTTTGAACGAGGTCAATGTCAGGCTTGCAATAGGGATTTCTGAAGTGCGCTAGTTGCTTCGCTACCTTCACTTTTGTTCTGTAGGCCTTGTTAAACTAGCACTAACCTCCTCCCCTCGGCCCGTTGCCTCCCTAATACACTATGGAGCTCTTTTTGTTACGACATTGTAACATGAATATTTATACTGTGGCCTCTTACAGTCTTAGTAATTTTCATTCCAGAAATGCCTCGTGTGATGCTTTATACGTCACAAAGTATAATTTAAAGGCACAAGGTCATGGCCCTTGTCATAGCAGTTGAATGTGTGTTGAGATATTTTTGTATGTTTTTTTAAAATTACAATAGAAAATAAGTAAGCTGTTGTAACATGTCAGGTCATGACAATTTATGTATTTATATTTGAAATCAGATTTCTATATCTGTGTGTATAGGCTTCTCAGTGGGTTTATATATTGTGAAATTTTTATTCAGGATCGAGATGTGGATTATACCTAACAGTAAAAGCTGAAATGAGACACTTTTGCTTTGTTTCAAATGCTGCACTGTGCAAGTATGGAAATGTACATTAACTTACTGTATATAATATCTTGAGTTTGTTTATACCTCCAAGTTTTTACACTGAAGATAAACTAGCTTTAATTACATGCAGAACTTAACTCTTTCTTAAGGGAATAAGCTGTTGGGCTAAATCTGTATAAATGTGCTTTTTATTTTCTGGAGGCACAGTGGACGTTTATACTTGTATCTTACTGCATCGTCTCTGATGGCAGAAATTAAAGCACAACTTACAAACCACTGGATTGCTGTGGCTGCTGCCTCACATTGCCTTCAGAGTCCCTTGGGGACACTGAACATTGTCGAGCTTCTCTGGGATGCCAGCATGCCCCCTGGGTTCAGCTGTGGGTACTCAAGGCTCCACCTGCCTGCAATTTGCATTCCCCATAGCCTAACCAATGTTTAACTTTTCAGGTGATGATAAAATGCTCTATTAAAAATTTTAAAAAGGCAGAGGCCCTCCCTATATGTTGATTTTTTTAAAAAAACAAATGGTCACCAAAACCTTGCAATGAAATACTACTATCCATTTGCTGTTATGGAGATATTTAAATTAGAATTACATCATTTCAATCCCCAAAGATTGCTGAGTTCATTTAGAACTGAAAGACGGGAAGGGCTGTTTTTCCTTCCGAGAGGACAAGTGAGTGAGCTCGGAGAAGGCTTAGGAAAGAGAGGTGTTTTCTAGTTAGTTTTAGTACTTCCTAGATTGAGGCATGTCACCCTTGTTTGTTCTGGAACGTTCGTTTCTTTGTTTCTTTGACCTTTCCTCTTTGCAGAGCAGGCTCTTCCCCCAAACTCCCACACCCTTTCCTGTCTGGCCAGGCCCAGGCTCCCATGTCCAGAAAAGCCTGCTTTGGAGTTTCTTGGAACAGCCTAAGCTCTCACTTCCAGAACCTGCTTTTCAGATATTTTAGTTCTTAGATGTTTGTGTTCATTCTTAAATAGCAGTCACACCCGAGAAAGCAGCTGTTGCTAGTCCTGTCTGGGCTATGGATAGATCCTGCTTTCCCTGGTTTCTAGGTGAGAAAACGAGGGGAGGCAAAGGTGGGACATCTTCCATTTAGTGTGAAACAGGATGGGAGTTGAGTTCCTGTGGAGACAGGATTGCAGGCTCCAGGTTCCTGTCACCCCCTCTCCTCTAAGAGGGAGTTGACTGTGGGGAAGCCTGCCCAGAGGCCAGCTTCCAGGCCCTTCCTGTGGTTACGGTCAAAGTTGCTGACCAAGAGGAACATCTTGCTGTGCTGGTGCCCCAGCACAACTCTGGGTATGAATAAAGCCAACACAGTTCCACCCTGAGAGGGGCTGGAATCAGAGGGGCAGTCGCACTAAGGCCACGTTTGTGCTGTGGGTTAGGTGTGACAGGGACGTCCCTGAGTGCTGACGTGAGTCTGGGGATCACCAGGGCAGCATGGCGGTGGCGGCTTGGTGGCTTTTAACTCTTGGATGCCCCCATGTAGCAGTGCTGTTTCAGGGACTTCCTCAGCTGCTCTCCTTCCAACCTAGCTCCCTGGGCTTGGGAAGGCCACAGATGATGGCCAGACTGGGCTTGAGCCACCACGTGGGAGACCAGCATGAAGTTCCAGCTCCTGGCTGTTGTGGCCATTTAAGGGGTAAACCAGCAGATAAGAGAGAGAGAGTGTGTGTGTGTGTGTGTGTGTGTGTGTGTGTGTGTGTGTGTGTGTGTGTTTCCTTCTTTCTCCCTCTGTCTTTCAAATAAATTTTTAAAAATTTAAAATTAAGGTACCTTGGTGGATTTTATGATTCAAGCCTGAATCTTTTTCATTTTTGTTTCTTTCGTTCTCTTATTAAACTGCTGTCTTTAGCCGTGAAAGAATATAAAGTGTTTAACCAGTAGAAATATACACAGTAAGCCTTTTGGTCTTCGTTTTTAAAAAGATTGACAAGTTTTACTAGCCAGTTTTTTTGGTTTTGGTTTTGGTTGTTTGTTTTAGTTTTGTAGCTGACTTTATCCAGAGCTAGCCAGCTTTATGAACACTGCATGGCCTATTACCTTTACGAAAGCCTAAATGGAAGCCTTCTGAATGATCGTCTTGGTAGGATCGGGGCTGGTGGACTTAGCTTGCTCGTCCCAGCACTGAGAGGCCATCCATGCCACTCTCGGGCTGGAGAGGAATGCAGATGGACCACTTTGTACCTCAGGGGTGACCCTGAAGCCCCACCAATTGGAGTGTGCTCCAGGATTTTCTCCACAGAGACAGGGGCTTGGAAGAGTGAAGATTTCCCAGAAGAGTTGTTGGGAAGGAATCTAAAGGAATGTTCCCGAGCCATCCCCATTGTCACCTGTTGTTATTTCCTGTTGTCAAGTCACCACCAGCGACTTTTTCCACCTCTGGTCCTTTCCCGCTCTACTGTAGCCCCTCGACTGGCTGTTGAATCTTCCTGCAGTAGTTTTGTGTTTCTTGGCTGGGAAATGTTTCATGGTGCAATAGCTTAATCCCAAAAGAGACATTTAGCAAGGCTGTGAGGAAGTTCCTCAAAGTGTTCTTTGTCTCTCTCTTGCTGCCGTTCAGCTCCCTCATCTTTCTAGCCTGTGGAGTAGGACGAGCCTCTTACAGCAGCTGTCTGTCCAGAAGAGCAGTCAGACGGAAGCTGGCATCGTGGACCACGCTGCAAGTACTGGGGGCGGAGAGTCTGGGTCACGGAGCATGGGGGCGCGTTGGAACAAGGTTCATTCAAATGTAGGACAGGCTGCTCCCCTGACTGTGTGTATATGACTGTATGGGTTCAAAGCACAGACTTGAGAACTGCTGTCTTCTAACATGTGATGTGGGCATCTTTCTCATCCAGCTTCTCCATCTGGTAACAATGTGAATGTCCTGTTTCTGTATTTCCCTGAGTGTGCTCTGGGATCAGCCCCACACAGAGGCTGTACAGCAGAGTCAGCTAGAAGCTAGGCTCTCAGGAGCAGAATATCCGCGTCTGATCCACTGCTTCTACAAGCCCTGGGATAGCATGCTTCCCTGGTTTCCTCCTGTCAAATGGTACCATTCATGAAACCCAACTCCCTTGAAACAGTTAGTGTTTGAGACAGCAATCGTAAGTTCAAAGGTGGCTACACAAGCACATTGGATGTATTCAAAGTCTGCCCCAGGGTTTTGTTGAGCATGTGGATGTCATAAATCTTTCAAAGGTGAAATGAATGGATACTTGGAATGTGGTTGGCTAGGAATGCCAGAGGCCCCTTCCTCACACCTACAGGACATACCAATCCTGCAGGCTCAACTGTGTCAACACTAAAGGCGCAAGGGGCAGAGCCCCAGCTATGCTGTAAGAACTTCATCCGCTGGATGAATCCCCGTCTCCAGAGTGGCAATGGGGCTAGCTGGGCCTGCTCTGTTACTGCGTCCATTGTAACAATAGTGTTGTTTTGTGCTCTCACGAAACTTTCCCACATCTGGCAGGCTCAGCCCAAGGCTGGTTTTGGTTATGAAACACCACTGCTTAAGGAAGTTGGGGTGATGGCAGCAGGGAGCTCTTTCCCCTACCTCCCTCTGACTTGCAGAAGCTACTGAGAATTTACTAGAAGAACCACAACTGAATTGCCACACTGACTTAGGTTAATGCACAGGGTCCCATCAGATTGGAAATTCAGTCATGTTCTAGTGAGATTCACTAGATGTTCCATTAGCACTGGAGGTTAGCAAGCCTGCTGGCCTGTGCCCTTCCGGCCACCATGGCTGCTGCCCAGGAGTACTTTGCCCCGGATCAGTATGTCTTAGTCAGTTGTCCCCATGAACAGAATCTAAGACAAGGATTTGAGGGCAAGTACTTTAAGCAGCAGTCCCCCAAAAAGGTAAACAATAAAGAGTATGAATAAGCAGGTGATGGCTGTAGGCGATGGGGCTCATCACCATGAGGGACTCTGTGGGAGCCCCGAGGAAGGAGCAGTCTCTGAGTGGCCTTGTTGAAGGGCCAGAAGTTTGGATATTGATACAGCAGCTCCCCACTGGCTGAAAGCATTGTGTTCTTGGGCACCCCACTGCATGTGCCAGGACTGTAGGACACATGGGCCCATGTGCCATGCTCTGTAGGGCTCCTGACAGGACCACTTGTATGAGGCATCTCTGCCAAAGCCCCCAAGCTGGGGCACCATGCACACTTACTCTGGCCCAGGTTAGACATTAGGAGCCAGCTCCAGCAGGGACCAAGGTCTCTGCAAAGCAAAACGAGGCCAAAATACTGAACTACTCTTCCAAGTCTCAGGGAAGTCATCTAGTGCTGTGGATGCGGGGCTTTCTTATTTTTTTTTTCCCCAGTGGAGAAAAACTTGCATTTTTGTTGTTGTTCTGTGGAAGTAACTAGGTTACAGGCCAGGACTGGGATAGTAGCAGATTAGGTTAGGTTACCACTGTAGTCACATCATTGCATGTGAGTACCAGTTCAAGTCCCAGTTGCTCTGCTTGTGCATGGACTCTGCCTCTCATTTAGGAGACCTTGATGGAGTTCTAACCTCTTGGCTTTGGCCTGGATGATGGTGGCCATTTAGGGAGTGACCAGTGGATAAAGTGTCAATCTATATCTTTTCCTGTCCTCCTGTCCTTCATTCCCCCCTTTTTTTTCTTCCTTTCCCTCTCTCTTCCCTCTTTCCTTTTCCTTCCTTTTTTTCTCTCTCTCACTTTTTAAAATAAATAAGTCTTAGAAAAAAGAAATGACTTGATGTAGTCAGTGCTGAATTGAATCCCAGGAGGCCACTGAGTTGGAATGAGCTTTTAGATGGTGTCAATAGACCAGAGCAAAATGGAGTTATTTATGCTAAGTCCCCTGTAAATCAGCAGAAACTTTAATGAAGTAAGAAAAATCCACCCCCAGACAAGCTGGGTTTTTCCCCCCAAAACAGGAGATTGACAGAAACCAATTGGAAAGAACTCAGTCAACCTGAGCTGGCATAAAGAAGTTCCCTTTACTTTAACCTATATAAGCAAATTAATCTGAAGTAATCTGAGGTTAATCAGTCACTTCTCGTATCATTCAGTTTCCTTGTTCCTGCTCAAGTTACTTGATAAAAATTGACCAGCAGCAGATGCTTCCTGATAACGATGCTCATAAAAATGCCTCACGTTGGCGTGCCAGGGTTGAAATCCCAGCTTCAGCTCCGGACACTCCCTTCCTGTGAATGTGCCCCCTGGGATGCAGCCAGCATGGCTCAAGTCATGGAGTTTCTGCCACTCATGTGGGATACCTGGATTGCATTCCAGCTCCTGGCGTAGACCTGACCCAACCC